AAATCGGAGTGGTTGACAAGGAAGCACATAGGAGTAGACCGCAAAGGCGGGAATTCCTCAATGATTTCATCCAGAACCTTGATCACTTCTGCCTCTTTCAAGGCTAGATCCAGGGTGTTGTGGGACACGATGTCAAAGTCAACTTCGCGGTGAGTTCGTGGTTCGCCGCCATGGGTTGATTCCCTGTAGACTGTGCCGAATGCAAAAGTCTTCTCGAGTGAGTGATCTTGTCTTGGAATAGCTCGTGCGTTTGGGAGTGTGAGATCATATGGCAACTGTAAAAGATTGCCAGATGCATCCAGCACGCGGACTGCACCGCTATTGTAGTGCTGGGATCGGGGGAAGAGCATTTGTCTTGTTGACTCAACAGCACCATGTCTTCGGAATATTGAGGTTAGCTTCTTCTTGACCAGGCCTTGAACAAGGAGCTCGTTAGCAGCCGGTACTGCATGCGAGTCTATGTCCCAAGCAATATCTTCGAATTTCTTAGGCGACTGAGAAAAGATGGCTGATAGAATCTTTTTGTAGTCGGGAGAATTTGGATCCGAGAGCAGATGCACAATAGCCCGTCTGAATGTCTCTTCCTCGACCTGAAGCGGTATCTTTCCACTAGACAAAAGGTCGGAGGCTGTGGGGCGTTCGCTCGGGGTATGGCTCAGAAGAGATTCAATGATCTCGCCTTGGAGTAACTTATCAGATTGCTGGAAAGTGGGCGGAAGTGTGTGATTCTTTTCTCGAATTTGTCGAAGAGTTTGATCACGTTCCATACCAGTCGGCAATGGATGACACATCTCGAAGAAGATGACACCAAGCGAAAACATCTAGAACGCGTCAGCCTATACTTGTGGTGCCAATTGTATATTCACTACTCACATCGACCTTCTCATTGTAATGACCCGAAACAACGGATTTCATCTCCGGTGCCACATAGTAGGTTGTACCCAAACTGCGAGTGAAATCCCCTTCAAAGTCGGCGGCTGCGGACGAACGCACGGCTGTGGTGAATTGACCACTTGTTGCAAGACCAAAGTCACCAATGCGGGGGTTATTTGCAACATCGATAAAAATATTGTCAGGCTTCAAATCACGATGTATGATTCCGTGGCTATGGATATGGCTCAAGCCATCGAGGATTTGTCGAAAGAGGCGCCATATACGCTCGTTGTCATCGCACAAATCATCCTTTATTAGATCGCGCAAGGTCTTAGGGGGCATCATTAGTTCAGAAGAACGAGCAAAGGGATATCAAAACACTTACATGCTTCTCGCAATATTCCATCTGGATGTAGAGTGTGGTTACAATGGGTCTGGCATAAGAGCCAGATCTCACTCGGCTGAGCTCAATCTCCTCTACACTTCCGGAATCATCGTCAGCATCACTGACCCTGTTTCTCTCTGGCGTTTCTGGGTGGGCAGGGTCGGATAAAGTTCCTTCGTTTTCATCATCGCTATCTGATGCCGCAAACTCTATTTTTGGATACCCGCTGGAGCTGATGAAATCAAGGCCTCCTGTACTGAATCCGTGGTGATCCTGGCTAGCGAACGGGTCGCCTTCGGTGGAGGACATAGCCTCTTCGTCGATATGATTGAAGTCCTCTTCGAGCCAGGCAGTGTAGTACCTGACAACGTAGGGATGATTAAGCCGGGAGAGCAACATAGTTTCGGAAAGCGTGTCTTTCAGCGCTGCGGCCGATGTTTGAGAGATCTTCTTTATTGCATACAGCCGACCATCGAGCTTGTTCCGTGCTTTGACTACCTGTCCGAATCCACCGCGGCCTAGCTGGCCTGCCTCATCGAAGTCTTGGTGGTATCGTGAGAAAGCCGGCATGGCTCCAAAAGAGTCCAGCCGTGGCCGTCTCTGCAGGGACACAGATCCTGATGCTCTTTCTCGCATCTTCAATGGTGCATCCACCCGGAAGAACTCAGACGGTTGGAGTTGGAATGCAGTTGGGCGCTTCCTAGGATCCGGGCGGAAAAATTCACAAAGCAGATCCTGCAGAGGCGGCGAGAGCCCCATAGACACCATCAACTGATTGGCGGAGGTGTATCTGAGGAGAACATCCTTTCCAAAGCCCATTTGAAGCAGCACAATTCCCAGATCCCAGACATCGGTCTTCATGGAGGGAGGGGAACTCTCCTCCGTTAATTCTGGGGGTACCCAAAGTGGGGACTTTGAGGCCGCGAAAGAGGACTTTCCACAGGGAGAGCCGGGCAAAGCTTCTTCGACGCTAGACTGCAGTTTGACTATAGTTTCGCCAGAAGGAGTCCTGAACAGAAACACTCGGCCACAATGAATGTTCCCATGCACAAACCCACTGCGATGGTAGAACTCCAGAGCCTCGAGTAACTGAATCATCCAGCCACGAAGCATGTCGACAGCTACGGTCCCCACGATGTCCAGGAGCTCGGAAAGGGAACCTTTGTTGGCATGTTCCAGTAGCGCGAAGACAGTCCAAGAATTATCAGGTGAATCGAATTCGGCAATTGGGCGATTGATTTTGAACCCCACAAACTCGACAAGATTGGGGTGTCGCAATCGCTTGAGAGCCTCCAACTTATCCTCACTAGTGCGCATCTGCTCACGGAATGCCAATCCTTCAGAGTCCTTCTCGCCGAGGCAAAGCTCCTTCAAAACAAGCAGCGGAACGTGGCATCGGTTCCCAGACACGACAGGCCTGACGGTGAAGGTCTTTTTGCCCTGTTTGCTTTGCAGTAGAGTCTTGCCATGAACGGCACGGAAGACCAGCGGCTGCTCATCGGTGTCGTTGACGGCCAATGGTGGATCAAAGCAGATGGCACCAGGTGTACTTTCCACAAGGTCATCAACATAACTCATATCCGCGCCGCCAGTTCGACTCTTTCGTCTCAAAATGCGAGCCTTGTTCCGCTGTCGCATCTTGTCTTGTAGCATTTCTTGTAATGCGCGCTCTTCCTCAACAGCTGCGGCCTTTTGTCTCCGAAGTTCTTCTTGTTTTTCTAGGTCTGCACGTTGTAGAGCAGCCGCCTCTTGCTCCATGCGCTCCTCTTCGAGGCTGGGTAGATCTTTGTCTTGTGCCTGTGCTTGAGCAACATCCTCCAAAACATCTTGAATAGACACCCCCAGCTCGTAGATCATCTCACTTCCCAGCAGAGATTTTGGCTTGTTGCGTAGAATTTCCTGTATTCGAGAACGTGCTCCATCGCGAAAGCCGTCGAGGTTTCCCGGTGAGAGATTAGGGATTGTTTTAGGATATGTAGCTGGCAATTCGACCAACAGAATGAGAAGTACGTCTGGATTCGAAGAGGATCGTAAATGAAGCTTGAATGTCACATCGGAGGATTGCTAGAGTGCACGGATTAGTGGATGATCCAAGCAGCCCTAAAAGTACACCCACCTGCCAGGCCGACCGCCTATTTTCTACTTCTTCAAAATCATCGCCGTAGATTGAGCGCAGAGCTTCCACCTCTGTCTGGTGGATTTCTCGGTAATTGGTTGTAAATATGGGGGACGTCACGGGGGAATCGGAGGTTTGCTTTTTTTGGCGGGAGGGCTTCTTCCTCTGTTTGGGAGACATCGCGGGGCGTGGCGAGAGCTCGCCCTACAAGCGACCCTGAGCGTCGTACGACATTGAGGGTGGATAAAATATGAAAGGTTTATGGGAGGTGGAAAGAGAATTGGGCGGTCTTTTTTTTCCTCCCCTCTGAGGCTAGAATAAACAGGCGGTCAGATCATACGCCCTTCCATTTATAGAGTGGAGATGTTTAGTATAAGTGACGTCCACGTTGATTAATTGTGGATTGACAGATTTATTGCTTATATTATACCTCGATTGAATTCCAATTCATGATTGTGAGAACATATTTACTTCAGAGCCATTCGCTGGTATACCCATGTGTCTGTTGAACTTGAGGTTGAGTATATCATCGTCAAGCCAAAGCACCATTGTCCCTGCCCAATAGTGGACCCAGACATTATGAGGTGAGCTGGTGAGCTGGCATATACCGAGAAAGGTGGCAATTATTGTCACCGCAATAGTCGATCGTTTCTGCTCCTGTTCTCTTTGTTCCAGCCGTGACCATCACATACGATCGAAGACCCCGAGCAACAAGCTGCCAGCCACAGCAACCATTGGTGCGTATCCCCAGTGATTCCACTGTCCTTGACCATGGGTCCAACACACGACACCATCTGCAAATGCAACGCTGCTAGCGGCAATCAAAATCCAGCCCAGCGTTGACCGGGTGCCAAAGTACGAAGCCACATATATAGCGGCCCCCATGAAGATGTCTCGGACCCCATAGATTGCCATCAAACTGTCAACCATATGCTTGTCTAATACAGAGGTAGGTGGCTGGAACTCGAAGAATGTGAGAGCATGGTCTGGACGTAGGATAGCGTTGATGCCGAATCCGACAAATGTGGTTGCAATGGCACTGGCAGCCAAGCGGAGAACAACCGAATGGGAAAGAGGCATCTTATTCTGCCAAGCCAGTCTTATGTTTGATGTTCTTGTATCTGTACGAAGTAGTGGCTTGAAGGCAACAGGGGTTTAAGTGCTGCAAAGTGTAGTCTTTGAGTTATGGGGGAACCAAAACTCTAGGTGGTCCTCACGGGTGTTAAAGGGATATTTGTAAGATACCCCCTGGGAATAATCGAAAACCCGAGGATTAATCTAGGCTGCAATGGAGGTTGTCGACTCCAACGCTGAATGATATGAAGTATGTCGTTCGCACACGTATGGAACACACACTAGCGAGATCAACAGGGCCATCCTGGCAACCAAGTCCATTGCCTGCCAACACAAATTCGAATTCAAAAAGAAGAAAAGAAAAGAAATCGCCCCAACATCCCAACTTCAAAAAGCCCCGAAACAAGTGCCAAGCGTAAACAAAACCAAGTGAAGCGGAACACGAGCTTATCGATAAAGTGATCGGCGCTTCTGCTTTTTCCGACCGCGCAAACCATAAACATTGGCCTTTAACCTGGTCTCAGAGGATTTCGAGGTTTCTTCCCTGTCAAAATGCTGGACTGGATCAAGGGGAACGAGCAAGAAGCACAGGTTACAGGTGTGGTAATTACTTTGGCCCTTGAAGCTCTTGGTCTAACGTGCTACAGATGACTCCAAGCTGCTAGAGCCCCCTGAGACCCCAGGCCATGTCTTTGCGATCCGTGCTTTCAAGAGCGCTCTGTTTGGCACTCCGGGAGTAGAGGAAGATGAAGACGCGTCCCAGAAACAGTCCAGTCACCAACGAAGCAAGAGCGATACGATCAAACTAGTCCCAACGGAGATCAACACCGACGTGAAACCAGACGCGACTTACAACCCCACGGGATCTCCCACGAAAAGTATACTTGTTACACCTGGAACCTCCTTGCGTCGTAAGACGGTATCCTTTGGCGAGAGTGTCATCGACAATGAGGGGAAACGCCCTGGCTCGGCCAGTAAGCCAGCCAAAACTCCACCAAATCCTTCCGGAACCCTTAGTACCCAGTGGATGTCTGGGACATCAGATGGAAGTGGCAAGCCGAGGAGCAAACTCACCCAAACACTCATGAATGCACGCGATAACGCGAACAAGAACTCCGAACCGGCCAAGTCCGATGGAAGCACAGAAGAAGCGAAGTCCGTCATAGGCTCTGGGTCAAAGGATACTCTCGAAAATGAAGATATCACTATCAACCTGGAGGACCCACACTCGGAGTCAGGCAAATACTGGAAAACCGAGTTCGACAATTACCGTGTGAGGACCAATCGAGAGATCAAAAAATTGATCCATTACCGGTCGATTGCCAAATCCTACGCTCGCAAGAAGGATACAGAAGCTATGCGGCTGGCCGACAAGCTGAAGGAAGAAGAAGAAAAGGTTGCCGAAATGGAAAGGCAGGTATCACGGCTTGCTTCTTCGATGGTCGGGGAGGGATCGACAGCCGATAAGGAGCACTTGATTCAAGACTTGACCAAACAAACCGCTCTTGCATTACAATACAAGCAGCAAGTTACATCACTCCGCAACGCCTTGGAACGCCATGATGTCGTGGGTGATGCATCAAATACCACACAAAAGAAGAAAGAACAACTGTTTTCAAATGCCTCAACGGACGAGCTTCGCAAAACACAGCAAGAATTAGAGCAAGCCAATGCTAAGATCAAGGAGATGCAACAACAGCAGTCCGAACTGAGCACACTTCAGGACCTCGCGCAAAGCTCAGAAAAGAAAGCCCAAGCACTCGAGAAAGAGAATAACACTCTGAAGCAAACGCTAGCTCGAGTGAAGCAGGAAATGTCCAGATATGAAGGTCGACGGAAGGACAAGGAAACAAGGCTCAAGCAGAGAGAGACCAGGCTGGAGCAGCGTATCCAAGAATACAGAGAAAAGCTCAAAACGACCTCCCAAGAGCACCGTGCCTCAGAGGAGAATTTGAGGAATACAGCCGATGCAGAGCGCCGCCACATGCAGAAACAGATTGACCTTCTGAAGCTGCGACTTGGTTCTACTGAACGCTTCCCGGCGTTACCTTCTACAGAGCGGCAATTTCTAAGCCCTCGGAAAGACCACACGGGCGTTCAGGTGTTTGACTTTGCCGGTCAGGATCTCACTGGCCAGAGTCTTGAAAACCCTGAAGAAGAGCCCACCGAAGATATCGAGCTTCCCCTAAGCCCGAGCCCACGGTCCAAAGTACGTGATCCACGACCCACTTTACGCAGTACTGCATTGAGTACACTTGGTACAAGGCCGAATGCCCGGGATATGGCCGCAGACGACGACGAGGTCACACATTATCTAAACGAAATTCTACTGAAGCCGCGGCACGAATCCCATAATACTGTGTTGGATGAAATCCCTCCATCCTCGCCTCCTGATATCTCGGCCCTGAAGTCGCTGAATCGCACGTACTCAAGACGCCGACTCGGTGAAGGCCAGCGTGCCTATCGGAATCTGAACCTCCCCGCTGACGATGACACTCGGCTGAGCGATATGAAGACACAACATCAACGAACCCATATCAAATCGACCCTCGATTCAATATCAGGCATTGCGCCTCGCAGCCGGTATTCAGGGTATACCGTTTCAGCGGGCGAACGCGTGGGCAAGCGGTACGGGTTGACTGATGTTAAGCGTGAAGCTCTCTCCCCTGAACGAATTGCTGCTGCCCAGTCACGGCTCAGGCAGAAGGACAGTCGTAAAGTCAGGGCATCTGGAAAGGAGAATGTTTGAAGTCTTTGGTCACGTCAAGTGACGCTAATTGGCTCTTTGTCTGTATTCAGCTTCTCATTTGGACATAAGGTGTTGCTTTTGGGGCATGATAGGATGGTGTTCAGGTTCATAAGCGTTACTCTTTTCCATTACCTCACTATCTACGTTTTCAGCGAACAACAGTTGTTGAATTATTGCTCAATTAGTGGCTCTTCTCTAATCTCTCGATCAATACTACCTCTCCACGCTGTTCCTCCTGTAAACCAGACCTTATTGACTTCCCGGACATTAGTGGCACCTCAGTCCTCGCCATGACTATCATCAGCCTTTGAGCAAATTATATAATTAATATGTGAATCATTGCTAAGCGAATGGGAAACTCCCCGGTGTTGTTATATATCATATAGTCGCTGATATCCATTTGTTTGGCTCGAGCTAGGAAGACATCTACTACGGTTTCCACGAGCTCATATTCAGTGTCAGCTTCGGCTACTATATGGTGAATTTTATATCCAAGCCAATGGCCGAAGGAGATGTATGTATCTCTTATGGCAAGCCTCTTCAATGCCCTCGTTACTTGAGCGAGACTGGTGAGTGGCGATTGTATCATATCACACCTTTATTCACAGTCTAGATTACGTATCAACTCGTCTACTTCTAGCTGTGGTCTTTTACTGCCGTGGCTCATCTACAAAGTCCCATATTGGCATATTTACCCCGTGTATAACAGAAGTCAAGTTCTGCCGTAGGACACGGTCGATCACGACGAGTGTGCTCTCAGGCCTTGCCGTCAGAAAGCGACACAACAGCCCATTTTCCACTCCAGGCCCACTTGCGAGACTCCGAGCCACCGCCTCCAGGCAGTGCGCGGAGTTTCTCGTCCATACCAGAGGGCAGACCGACAACGGTATCAGCCTTGCAAGTGCGGAAGGCTAGAACACGGATCCCGGACTTGGGGCCAAGCGGGCCGATGGCTTCTGTAAAGGGGGTGGTGGGATCCCATTCAGCCTGCTTGTTGTTAGCGAGAAATCCAAAGTGAAAAAAAGAAAAGCAAAGAACGTTGGACATACATCGTTGACCAACTTTCGATAGTTCAGGTCGCCCTTAAACAAAACAAGCTCGCTCTCCTTCAGATCTTCGAACAGCTCTGGTGCCACAAATGGCATGCGCCAGTAGCCGCCCTGGGTGGTCCAGAAAGCGTGTGGACGCAGAATCAGCTTACCATCCTGATGGAACTGACTCCACTGCTCAAAGAGGAATTTCACGTCGGAAACCTCCTTCTCGGAAAGAGGGGGAATGTCTTGCCCGAATCATCGGCTGCTGTGTAAAAGGCCTGCGGGTCGACCATACTGTTGAGCAGATCGGAGAAATCCTTCGGCGTAACATCCGAAACAAACCATGGCAGGCGCTTGGGGTGAAGCACGACGCTGGTCGCCAGTCCGGTGGATAGCAAGTATCCACCGAGAATTAGGTCAACGAATAACTCGAATCCAGAGTTGTCTAAGACGATGTCGACGCGGCGCTCGCCATCTTTCTTCTCTCTCCGCGCCTTTTGCATTGCCTCGAAAGCAGCATCGAGGTCATTAACAATGATGTTCTTCTGCGATGCTTTGCGTGCCTCGGAGCCTTGCAGTTTCTGGATATCCTCATAGGTGAGAGATGTCAGAAGCGACAGATCAGTGGCATTACCCCAGAGGCAGATCTCGCACATCTCTGAGAAAAGAAGCTTCTCTGCCTCCTCGCTTTCCTCTGGTGACTTGTTTTCTCGTGCTTTCCCTGACTCTGCATCTATCGCTAATTCACGGTATCTCGCAGCGAGTTCTAGTACCGCGGGACGGGATGACTTGAATGTGTCCATCTTCTGGCGGGCGAACACGTCGTAGCCCTTCCAATGCTTGGACAGCGCGAAGAGGGCTTCTATGCGGCGGTCTATGATAGTCATCTGGTCAGTATTGCAGTTGTTCTTCTAATTGCATATTGAATTGGGGTGTTGGTCGTACAGAGGTAACACTCTGAATAAAGCCAGGACACATTGTGCCAGTGGGGGTTTCCGCGCTCCTCTAGCTCCTTGTTATACGAGGCGATATCTGGGTGTCCGTCGTCATCCAGGGGACTAGCCGCAATATGCATGTCAGATATATCTCCATATTTCGAGCATATTAGATGAAAGGTCTCACGTCAGTTGTCGGTTATGCTGAAGCTCATACTTCAACTTGGCCAGATTGGCAATAATGTTTTTGCCTTCGTTGGCTTTCTCATCGTCATTGACACCTACAACAGTGCGGTGAAGGTCATCAATGGCGCCAGTCTATAGTGGTCACATAAATTCAGTAATTGATCCTCAGGCTATCGAATGTCTGTCGCAAGCTCACGATGATAACAGGCCACCGCTCGTTGGCCGAGATCGAGGCGAAGCTCGTCTTGTCGGAGGTGAGGTACTGGGCTGCTCAGATTAGTCGAGCATATTACATGACTGAGCAAGAACACTCACGGGTCTTAGGATCGAATTCCATGACTGCTATGTAAGATGTGTCTAGACCGAGGACGAAAAGAAGTTAAAGCGGCAGAATAGAGGGACGGCGCGGGGCAAAAGCGGTGTGAAGTATACAGTTGGCGACGTCAGAGATAAGAGCTACTCGAAGTACAACATTCATGCACGTTAACATAAATACATTTGGAATGTCAATTCTAGGTAGATCTCTTGGGCAACGCCGCGCTTGAAAATCAAATATACGATCACATTCCCGAAAGGATAGAGTTATTCGCGTATGCCTAAGCCAGTTAGCTGGGGAAATTCGATGATCTAGAAGTTTGGAGGTCATAATCTTACCATCGGCTTGATATCAGGGTGGGGCACTGCTTCGAAGACTTCATATGCAAGCTTGAGCTCGGGGCCAATGTTGATGTAGGCACCCTTATTTTCAGTCGAGTCGCAGTACTTGGGAGCGGAAAAGACGGTGATGCAACGACCATCGTGCTCGACCTCGTAACCGCCCATCCGCACTTCGTGGGAGCGAATGATGGCCTCTAGGCCGTTGTTTTCACAGAAACGCTTGGTCACATCAGGACCAAATTGGAGACCGACACCACGCTTGCTGGGACCACGACCAGCCTCGGGCTGCGGATCTGTCCAAAGCATCTCCATCATCAGGCCCGCTTGGCCAGGCTGGCGCTGGTTGTGGCGGTTGAGCTTGCGGATATCATCCAACTTGATTTTGTCATCGGAGAAGAGACCGCCGTGTAGGACGAGGTACTTTGCGCCAATCAAGGTGGCCAGCGGCAGGGCCGAGAAGGACTCGGAGAACACCTTGAAGACCCGCTCATTATATTTAGCCTTGCACTCGCCTTCGAAGCCGTAAACCTTATTCATATCATCCGTCTCGTGATTTCCACGGTTAAGGAAAAGACCATTGGGGCGCAGCCACTTGTATGCATAGAGCAGCAGTGCGATTTCGCAGGACCATGAGCCACGGTCAACAAAGTCACCGTTGAAGAGATAAGCGTGAGTATCGGAGGGGGCACCATTTCGTCGGAAAATCTCGAGTAAGTCAAAGTATTGGCCTGTTCAATCAGCAAATGGTTCACTCGGCGAACATGGATAATACATACCGTGCGTATCACCGCATACTGTCAGCTTCTTGCCCGATTCCACGCCAATTTCCACCATCGTTGGCTCGTTGTATACCAAATCCTTGACAGCCTTGATGATCTGGAAGACAAATTTGCGATGGATCTTCTTTCCATCCTTAAAGCGCTGAATCATATCATCGATGAACTCCTGCGACATCTGTTCGCCAAGGCGCACACCATCATAATCCTCCTCAACCTTGATAGCATCGATATCCAGATCCGCAAAAGCAGAAGGGGGGTCTGCAATCTCAATGGCGCGCTCGAAATCTCTGCGGCGCACGAGCTTCTCGCACTCGGCAGTCTTCAACTTGGCGTTCTGGTTGCCCGGTTCGCGTCTGACCACGGCCTTGAAGTCCTTCAGGGCCTCCTTGTAGCTTAGAATGGCAGTATTGGCAAGGGCACGTCTCCAGTAGGCCTGTGATAAACATGGATTTTAGCACTCCTTCGTCTGTAGGTATAAGTTGTCGCTCCTAGTGGCTAGGAATACCGACTAACCTTAACATAGTTGGGATCCAATTCGATTGCCTTGGTTGCATCTGCAATAGCAAAGCCGAAAGCTTCAAGCTTAATTTGAGCCTATAACACAAAACAAAATAAGATTGTTAGCCATGTCAATCCTAACCAGCGCACACGCGACTCTTAAGAATGTGCCACCACGATCGTCAGAAACACACCTGGGCCCGGTTGCAGAAGAAGGATGGATCCTTGTCGTATTTAGCAATAGCCTGGTTATAAAAGTCGACTGCGACAGGCCAGTCATGTTGAGCAAAAGCCTTGTTGCCCTGCAACTTGAGCGCAGTGGCCTCTTCTTGATCGGTAGCCATTTGGGCGGGGAGACGAAAACGCGAGGGGCACGAGACAGCGATTATCGGTGCGAAACAAGGGTGCGGAGGAAACGGTGATAATTATATGGAGAAGAGAAAAGAGACAAATTCAGAAAAGAAGAAAACTCCTCTAGATCCAGTATAGATTAAGAGAGAAGAAAAGAAAGATGAGAGCGTGGTTTAGAAAAAAAAAAATGAGAGACACAGAGAGAGTCTGGTTCCTGCTTCTCCCATGTTCTTTTTCCCCGATCGCAACGAGTCTTGGCATCCACGACTTGACGGCTAACTCCCATTCATAGCTTTCTTTCTCCCTACAATTCCTCATATCTCCTCATGTCTTTCTACGCCCCTCCAAATCAGCAGCGCATGCTGCGCGCCTGTATGGTCTGCTCTGTCGTCCAAGTTCACAATGTAAGAACAACTCCTCATCTCCGTTCCGCGGGCCAATTTAACTCCGATTACTCTAGAAATTCATGCGTGAAGGCTGCCCAAATTGCGAGAGCACCCTCCAGCTCCGTGGAAACAATGATGCCATCCAAGAATGCACGTCACAGGTCTTCGAAGGTCTGATTGCTGTTCGGGATCCGGCTGCCAGCTGGGTCGCTCGTTGGCAGCGGTTGGATAACTACGTGCCGGGCACATATGCGACCAAGGTCACGGGGACAGTAAGTGTATACTTGATTACTGGAGAAACGGGGCTCTTTTTCAATTCCCTGGGGCTCTCTTATCTCTTCTAGCAAGCACAGGATGGTTAATTGTGTCTTTCGCCTGGACAGCTTCCGGAATACATTATCAACAGTCTCGAGGACTCTGGCATTAAATATGTCCCGTACGTCTCCCCCGAACTCATTCGACCGATTCCGAGAGTCCTCCCTCTTAAAACTAACGATTCTTTATTCCAGGCGAGACGGAAGCACTGGCGAGGAAGATGCATGAAACACCTACCCTTAAGACTTTAACGCTACACGAACCCACCCCTGCCTATATCGTCTTGGCCCTGAATAACCTTTCAGCGCACACTCCATTGATTCAGTCAAGATATGCAGTATGAGTGTGGTTTCGAAAATTTTGCTGGTCGTTCGGAGTTCGGATGGGAAGCATCTTCTACTTTTCTTCATATTATTTATTGGATTACAAGGGCATACACAGCAAATTTTGATTACTTCTTACAATGGACTTGGGATTGTATATCCCGGATTATTCGGTTAGGGATATCAAGATGGGAAAACGGCTTGCGGAACTCCGGCCCCAATGATTCGTTCTGAGTCCCAACTCAATTGAGAAGCACAATGTCCAGAAATATACATGGCATTTTTGTAGTGACATAAAGTCGTGACAGCGAAGGGAGGAAGATAAACCCTCCAAAAAAGAAAAAGAGAAAAGAAAAGAGAAACGGAGGAAACGCTCATTAAACCAATTTGAAAACGCCCGGTCACTTGTAAATGTCATTGCCGGCATTTGTTTAGAGGCTCTGGATGATCTGCTCGAGCTTCTCGAGGAGGATATCAGCTGTAGGAGAAAGATACATTAGTAAATGGCTTTAAGGCACAAGGAAAGGAAAAGTTGACATACCGTGGTGCTTCTGGAAGATCAGCATGGGGCGCAGACGGACAGCAGATACGCCACTGCCACCGATGTTGACACCGAAGGACTTGGCCTTGGCAACGAGCTGGTCACGCTTGGGTGTGTCCCAGGCAATGAAGGTACCCTGGTTCTTACCACGGAGGTTCTGGAAGTGCTCAGGGTACTTCTCGGCGAGACGAGCGAGACCGCCGTAGAGGTAGTCACCAGTGATGCGGGTGTTCTCGACGAGGCCAAGACGCTCGATCTCCTCGATGATTCCGCGGAAGATCAGGGCACGGGCTGGGTCTCCCATCCAGGTGTTGAACTGGCGGTAGGGCTTGTTGGGGCGCAGAGCGGGGTTACCGTAGTAGTAACCGGCAGTCTGGGCCTTCTTGGAGAAGGTGACCATATCCGGGGGAGAGGACAGGTTCCAGTGGTCGTGGGCCCAGAACTTACCAGTGGCACCAACACCGGTCTGCACCTCATCGACGATGAAGAGGACGTTGGTACGCTTGGTGATGTCACGGAGACCCTGGAAGAAAGCGGGAGAGGCGTGGTTATCACCACCCTCGGACTGGATGGGCTCGACCATCACGGCAGCGACGGGGTTGTGGAACTCCTTGATGAGACGCTCAACCTCGGCCAGGCAGCGCTGCTCCTCAGCAGCATTCTCCTGGACGTGATCCTCCAGAGGGTACTTCAGCTGGGGGAATGGGGCCTGAGGCCAGTCAAAGGCGGGGATATCCAGCTTGTGGATGGCCTTGCTGCGGGTGGTGGAGAGAGAGCCAAAGAGACGGCCGTGGAAGGCAGACTTGAATGAGAGAATGGACAGGTGGGGCGAGCCAGGACTCTGGTTGTTCATGGTAGAGACCAGCTCTTCCTCATTGAACTCGACATTAGGGCCACCGCGCTGCATCTGGCGGTAGTACATGAAGGCCGCCTTGTATGCAGTCTCGTTGGCATCAGAGCCAGCCATGGCGGTGAAAACCTGGTTCAAGCCCTTGGGGGCAGCACGGAGGACGCCGGTCTTGAGAATATGGCCCCAGTCGGAGGAAGGGAAGTTACCCAGGGCCGGACGGTTAATCAGGGCGCAGGACATCTCAGGCGATGCGGCAATCTTCTGGAGGTGGGGGTTGTTGTAACCAACGGGAATGGAAGCAATCTGGGCATACCTACTGGGGTCAGCTTCTCTGTTTTCAATTGAGTTGTAGCAAATGACTTACACATCAAGGAGCTTGTTTCCATCGAGATCAGCAATGCTAGAGGCGAGGTTAGTCAAGCCTTGATAGTGGGTGGGGGCGTGCCATACTAGTTTCCCACGGACTGGTGGTAGTCAGTCAACATGTTCAAGCTGCGAACGTCAAAGACTTCGTCAAGTTCGGCGGCGGCGGCCTTGTTCTTGGGTCCAGGGATTGTCCCCGAGACGGAGGGAGCGGTAGGCTCATTGGGGAAGTAAGGCTTCTCCGCTGCACGCAGACCGGCAGTGGTAGAGAGAGCACGAGCTGCCGGGAGGCGAGCTGCAGAGCGCAGCCTTGTGCTAGCACGGAAGACCGAGGACATTGTGACTTTAATGTGAAATGGAGTGGAGAGTATAAGAAAAGAGAATAGCGGTCTGATAGCTATCCGGTGTAGAAGAAAGGCACCCTGGTCAATCGATCCAGTCAGATATAGTCAAGGGGAGAGCAACAGATGTAGGACAGAAGAAATAAAAAGGGAAGACCAACAGGCGCGGGGTGGTTTTATACTTGAGTGCAGATGGAGAATGTTATCGGCCTTATCCTGGAGCTCAATAGCTTCTCCCCGCGTATGCTGCTTCTATTTCGGTGACGTTGACCAATCGGATGGCTGCTATCGACAACGAAACGCCGAAAATCCGATGGGGTATCTGGACGAATTGAGAAGGTCTAAGCCGGTGGATTCTTGGTCAAATCTATATGGTAAAAGTTTTACATTTGGAGGGTACATAATGCATTTATATCAATTGGGGGTCGAGTGGCGCACAGAAGGCAAAAAGAGTCAAGTCTCATCGTCATGTCCCTGCTGTAGATCATTCCAAGGTTCCTAAGGTTCCGGCATCGATAAGCTAAAGTCTTGGCTTTTCTTATCTACCCCGAGGTCGGTTATCTATCCATGCTACTGCTAGCTAGCAGATATATGTGCGAGTTGTGGATTTCAAAGGGCAGACGGCTTTCATCGTGATTTCTAGTAGGTCGTGGGGATCCTTTCTATCTGACAGTGCATTGAATCGATACTTTATATATTGTTCTACAAACTGGAATTTCTAGCGGGATCTTAATTAATATATATATATATATGTATATATCGCTTGATGATCCCAATAAACAAACACACAATGTAAAGCTACACTCGCCCTTTTAGTATAGAAATACTAAGACGAAGTATTAGAAAGCCTCTAGTGACTCAAGTCATCTCATTCATGGAAGTATGGACCGAGTTTGGTGGCTAACGAAGGTAGACTTGACCCCAATTTTTATTTTGACTATTAGTGCAATGATCTCCACGACCAACCAATCAACTGGGCTTGTGGTTTAGTGGTATAATACTCCCTTAGCATGGGAGTGGTCCAGGGTTCGATTCCCTGCAAGTCCAGATCTTTTTTGTTTTTATTGACGAGATCTTCTTTTTGCAAAATTAATAATTTTAAAATGTGTGATGTGATGCATCAGTGTTGAGAATACTCTTATGCATAGTTGAATGTCACGCTGAATACGAAGTATCATATAGTTTTTTTTCCATCGAGGGAGATTCCAAGATTACGTCTAGAATAACATCATCAAATATGGGTTGGCGGTAATAACACCAATCACTTTTTGCTTCTTTCTTCACCTAGGTAGATTGTGTTTGACGACTCACATACCCTTATGTTTATTTTTGGCTATCAATGGCAGGTAATACGAGCTTTTTTTTGTCAAACTTATTATTTCGTTGGATCTTCTAGATGTCCATAGTAACACCCAACTTGTACTGGGGTTGACATCACTATGGAGACTATATACCTAGATATCTCATTGGCTAGAAGGAAAGTCTTAAAGTTCTTTCCCAATTCTCTCAATGTGTGAAATAATTTAGCCAGCCGACATTGAGCATTGAACAGATACATGTAGCCAAGAAAGATCCAAGACTTCCTAGTTGACCATCCTTGAAAGCACCATGCGCCGATCATAATCTACCCTACCGTGTAAGGTTGAAACTAGCGTAGGACTGTGAGCTCAGCGCACGGTCAGATCGGTAATGGACGTGTCAACCCCCGGAGTCCAGGGTGATCATTGCTTGGAAAATGCCCCGCCAGATTGCGCACGTATCTACCTGTATATAATATGTCATATAGATCCGATGTTTGTATACATGGCGGGGCGAGACATGTGAATGTATTCTGAAATCATCGAATACAATTACCGTCTATATGTGAAACAAGTGATCATCCGAATCATTATAGTCTTCGTATAAATGTACAAAGTGTGTCGTATGTGAAATATCTCTCCAAGCTCAATCAAGCCATACAGGCTAAAGTGACATAAATATTCATACAAAAGAAAAGAAGAAAGAAAAGAAGGTACTAAAACAGTGCGGTGCGATTAACGCGATTGCCGATCGTCGAAGGGAGAAGTTGGAGAATGCGTATCACCCGGCCCAGACACAGAGGAACCAGCACTTGCCGGAGAGACATGAACCATACCCCTCTTTATCTCAATGCTACCTGCAGGGGTGGGAGTGCGGCTGTGGTTATTAGACGTAATATCATAACCGTGGCCCATCTTATCATGGCTTGCGAGTCGTGACTCAGTCCAGCTCTCCATTTCAATGGTGCGCATGATTTCAAATCGATCGCTGGTGTACCCAGACTGGTGCAACTCATCGGTGACAACACGGGAGTTTCGGGAGCGGCCGGTTGAAAACCAGAGCTTGTGGGATCGACTCCGTTGGTTGTAGGAGGAGCTGATGTTGCGGGTTGAACTGAGGAGGCGGGGAAGGAAGGCTGCAATGAGGGGACGGAGGGCTGGGGCTGAAGAGCAGATCTGTTGATTATTAGTCTTAAACATCTTGAGTACCAAGACTGTTGGTTTCTCACCAATCCCAGACTGATTTCCACTGCGGCAGCGATCAGCACCGGCCAGCCAAGCCAGGTCGCATCATAGCCGACTACCATACTCTTCCACACGTATACTGTCCGGACAGAGCCCGCTACGTTAACCACGACTCCGAGGGCAAATATAGAGATCACGGCGAGTCGCTGACGAGCGGGGAGCTTCAGACTCCAGATCAATGGCATTGGTAAAGCTGTGACCAAAAAATCGGTGAAAATGTTGATCACACTGGCGGAGAAGACAATTGCACCATCATTCATACAGTGATATGATCCAGTGGGGCTCAGTTGCCAGTATGCGCGGATAGGACTATATGAAGCATTAGCAACGGCCCAAGACCATTATACAAGGTAACTCACGAGCACTGAAAGATGCTAATAAGAGTGAACAGCAAGCTAGAGCCCCCAACGAAAACGATGGCCAGGATAAACGCCCGGTTATACAGCCCGAAGTTGCTGTTCGCGATGAGTCGTCGACAGAACCATAGTAGAGAGATCTTGGTGAAGCAAGACGCCAAAGAGAACAATATCTGAAAGGAGAGATTCAGTTTCTGGACAGTGACAAGTTTCACCAATTCAATGTCCCAGATGTGTCGGTTCATGCCCCAATCTTCAGTTGCGACTGATGTGATCGTGACCATGGCGATGGCGAACACCAGGCCGATAACGATAAGCAAGTCATCAATCCCCGCGCTGCATGTGATCCAGAGCCTAGTGTATAATCGGAGGGAGACAACCAGAAATGTGAAGGCGAAACAGACGATGTTGACGACAAGGACGCCATGCCCGCGCGTGGGAGGATTGATATAGTTTGGGGTTGGCCATGAGTTCACAATGTCTGCTGGGGGAGCTTCATGGTCTTCTCCGAGCAAAAAATAAAGAAAAGATCAAAGTAAAAGAAGGATAGACAACTTGTCTAGGCAAGTGCCACCGCCATAACCCACGCCAGCAATGGGAAAAATCGACCAAGAACGAGCGTCAAGAAAGTCACCCCACACAAGTGTATTGGATAAATTGTGGAAAGAGAATTTAAATGTATCACTAGGCAGACGGGGTAGATATTATTTACAGGGATGGTAAGCCGAGACCTCCGTTTTACATGCATAAGTAGATTAGAGAAAGTTTCTGGAGAAGACATCATTGGAGAGAGAGTTCGACCAAAGAACAAGCGAACCAATATCAAAAGGGCCCTTTCCCAAAGAAGAGCCCTAGAAACACTCCGTAGAGCGAAGTCGACGCCATATCAAATATGGTAACATGGCCGAAGGTAAGTGGGATGCGATGGACGATAGGTGGATACAGGGCCCCATAGTTCCCTTTTCAGCCCCGAGCCTTTGGGTCTGTGATCTGAGGCTTGTGAGAGGTTAAAGACCCCTGGCTTCAGGCACCAAATCATATTGAAATGTGGAAAAGTCAAAAGCATGGACCTCGTATAAATGTAACTACGGAGATTTTTCCGACATGTGGCCGACGCCCGGGCCTCCGGTGAGCCGAGGCCATCTTTTGAGATCTTTTGAATCTTGAATCTAGTTGTACAGAGTGGAGAGTATGGAGTAGAAATTGTGATGATCGATTCTGGAACAACCAAGTTCCCGGGATATAGGTTGTATACTTCATCTTGCGACTCGTATTTTTCTCCACTTTGCGCATGATCATCTAACTCTGACTCTTCAGAGGCGTTTAATATAAAACCCCTGCTACTGGCACATGAAAGAATATAGGTCGGGCCAAGAAAAGAGGCGAATACAAGCGCAAAGGACGCAAAAAATCGCCTTTTGCCCGCTTAAAGAAGCCACGTTGGGGAATCCTAATCCCCCAGGGCTGCATGTTTGAGATAAGACCCCTTTCGCCCGCTAATTTTCCGTATGCTTTAATAGAGTGCTTAGATCTAGACTTGTGTGATTTCATTATGCATTGATGTTTTCAATACAAGTGCATACTGCATTTTACGATTTTGCATGCTGAGCATATCCACTTCTCCACATGTGGTTGGTTTTGACATCAGAAGCTATACACAGAAAAGTCTTGTGTACGAACTGCCTTTTCAGCCTTTTTTTGACGTCTAACTATAAAATACTGCAAAGGGGGTAAAAAATCTTGAAGATATCTGGGATAAATATCCGAGAATCCCACTGTAAAGGCTACTAAAAGACTACCTAAAAGCCCTATAAGATACAATAAGGCCGTAGAAGCGGCTGTCTACACTTGTCATCATAATTGTTGAAGGTCATCAAATATACCTCAGCACACCCCTGTTCTTTGAGGCTCCGCTGCCAAACGATCAATAATTGCTTCGACTGGTCGAGCTTCTTCCGCAGGTTTTCCTCCGCGAGAGTAAAACTGGCCATGGCCCCCAATCCCCGCGGAGCATATTTTGACTACATCAGCACATAGTCAATTTTAAAGCAAGTACTTCAAGGATTGTGTCGGACTAGCAATCAGAAACTGCTTCAATGCTTCAAATTTATCCTTCATCTTACAAGACAGGTATATATGTAGTTCTTATCGTTGTTTATTCTCCCCCTTCAGAACTTTATACAATACTTTGCGCCGAGTCTATCCAAAGATCACCGCCAGCAAGGAAGCACGTGCACCTGATTGGGGTTTAGAAACAATGACAGGGAGTACCTAGTATGAATCCTAAGTAACAAGTGTAGGAATTGCCGTGGAACAGTGCACCACAACTCTGGGACCAGTCTATGGTGTAGCACAACGCGCTATGATCTTCATGGCACATTCGAGTTAAAGTTCACTGATAGCTGAATAGCGACTGAACATGCATGCCGACCTACCTCTTATACAAGTCTATGGTAGTACTGTCATGTATGGTTCTGGAGAACCCTATACTCGGTAAGACCCTAAACCTTTGCTGATACTCTCAACATTTCAAGGTTTCAACAGTATACCCTTTTAGCTCAGATGCCACGCACTCAGAAGGTCACAGGTCATATGATAACTTGAAGAGATCGAGGATTTTTGCTTGGGCATATGCTTTTATACCATGCTCCAACGTGGTGCAACGTTCTCGTAACTCGAGCCATCTTCTAGATGCCTTTTGTGTCGCTTTGCTGACTGTATGAGCTGAAACCCTTCCAAGGCTTGACCCAAAGTCATTGACCATGCCATCTGAAAGCTCCATCCTCAAAGCAGTCTCCAGATAAGCCTTGGTATTTTCCCCAATGGCGCTCTATCTGGAAGGTCTTACAAGGGTCTACTGGTGGGAACAACCCTAAATATCCTCAGAATATAGGGCTGGTTAGTGGGAGCGGGGCACTGGAAAGATGGATAGATTGTTAGAAGTGTAGCACTTGTACACTCACACAAAGGGCTAACATGGCTGTCACGCATTAAGGCTTTTGGGGTGTCCGACAACTTGAATCGCATCAATATTTGTTCACTTAGGTAAAATCAGGTAGGTGCATACATAATCACAACCCTTTCCTGCTTGTATTTGACTGCCACCTGAGTCTTCCATTTAAGTTCTTTTCGTTTGCTTTTCCTCAGTTTAAATCTTCTCTTCTTCACCTTCTCAACTTCTGAGCCACTTTCAGAGCTTGACTCCATTTCATCAACTTTCGCAACAGCAGTCCACAACAGTCCCTCTGCTTTACTTGATTTCATCAAGAGAAAGCCACCAGGCATCAAAATGCCTGATCCGACCAGAAATAATGCAGTTGGGGGGTATGTAACCATACACTGACCACCATTTGATCCCGAGCTCTGGTACTGACAAGTCAACTAGAATGACCGAGAACGTTACGGGGGAGTAAGTAGCGTAGCACGAATCTGTGCTCATTGAGGTGACTCTTTCCTTGAACTTCAGGTCAAACTGATACGCAATAGAATTAAGAACCCCCTCGCTGGAATCACTCACGATCAGCTCATGGCGAATGTGACCGCCTATGCTGCCGAATATGATCTTGAGGACAGCTTGCCCCTCTTGAAGAAAGGGGCTTTGGTTGCTCAGTCCCCAGCAATGATTGGTCAAATCTCTCAACTCGATGATGATGACCGTCGTGTTCTCTACGAGGAGCACACTCGACGCTGGAAACACCCGTTTGCCCTGTACTACACCATAATCCTGAACTCGATCTCGGCAGCTATTCAAGGCTGGGATCAGACTGGTCAGAACAATACTTTTTTTTTTTTTTTTAAGTTCAGACTCAGTATTGGCTAACGTCTCTCATAGGTTCCAACGGCGCTAATCTGACATTCGATGTTCAATTTGGCATTCCAAACAACTCGCCTCGATGCCCTGACCCGGAAACTTGCAAGCGTAACCAGTGGATTGTTGGTTTTATCAATGCGTCCCCATACATCACCATTTGTCTCTTGTGAGTGATGGAATTCTCCGAAATTCAAGCAATCTTCTAACATGTATCTCTCACTCTACAGTGTTGCTTGGCTTTCCGACCCCCTGAACCATATCCTCGGCCGTCGTGGTACAATCTTCCTGGCCGCAATCTTTAGCCTCCTTGCCCCCTGGGCTCCGCTTTTACTCAGCATTGGGGTCAGCTTGTTGCCTGTCGTGTACTTCTCGGACTTGGCATGGGTCTCAAGGAAGTCACTGTTCCTGTTTACTCGGCTGGTGTGTTCTTTTGGTTCTTATATACCAGCCAGTCATGAAAATAACGCTCAAGCTAAACTTCATTTGACAGAAAGCGCACCCACAAACATTCGTGGCGGCCTGGTCATGTCATGGCAGCTTTGGACGGCCTTTGGTATCTTTCTCGGAACGTGTGCTAATCTCGCTGTGGCCAAAACCGGTGATATTGCCTGGCGACTACAGCTAGGCTCTGCATTTATTCCAGCCGTGCCACTAATTCTTGGTATCTGGTTTTGTCCTGAGTCTCCGCGATGGCTGATGACCAAGAAAAACCACAAGAAAGCATATGCGTCTCTTCTCAAACTACGGAACAGCCCTTTGCAGGCCGCTAGGGATTTGTATCGGATTCATGCCCAGCTGGAGATGGAGAAGCAGTTGATTGCCGAGTCGGGATTCTCTAGGACTGATAACATGTTCGTTCGTTTTGTCGAATTATTCAAGGTGGCCCGTCTACGTCGTGCCGTCCAAGCTTCTGGCATTGTGATGATCGCCCAGCAGATGTGTGGAAGTAAGTACAAAAGTCGACACAGTGGATGAATTGAGCTAATTGTATCCTTGCTTTCTAGTCAATATCATCTCGTTCTACTCCTCGACCATCTTCCAACTGGCCGGCGCTTCCAACATCGAAGCACTTCTTGCATCATTCGGGTTTGGTCTAATCAATTTCGTGTTTGCCTGGCCCGCCGTATGGACAATCGATACATTTGGCAGACGAGGGTTGCTACTTTTCACCTTCCCGCAGATGTGCTGGACGCTGCTCGCAGCTGGGTTCTGTTTCTGGATTCCCCAAAGCAGCAATGCGCACATTGGATTGATTGCTTTTTTCGTCTACCTCTTTGACGCATTTTATTCCCCCGGAGAGGGACCCGTTCCGTTCACCTACTCTGCCGAGGTGTTCCCGTTGTCCCACCGTGAAGTTGGAATGGCATGGGCTGTTGCGACCAACAACTTCTGGGCTTCTGTGCTCTCACTGACGTTCCCGTGGATGTTGCGAGCACTCACTCCACAGGGTGCCTTCGGGTTCTATGCCGGCTTGAATCTTGTTGCGTTTGCTCTGATTTTCTTGTTTATGCCAGAGACCATGCAGCGCTCCCTTGAGGAACTGGACTATGTCTTTGGCGTCCCGACTCGAACTCACGCCAAATACCAACTTACCCAGGTCCTCCCGTGGTGGATCAAGAGATATGTCCTGATGCGTAAGGATGCGGTCTGCCCGGAACTTTACCAGACCACTCAGGACTACGCCGTAGCTCCTGCTCCAGAGAAGAATGTTGATGCCGACAAGGAGGAACGTCACGCCGAACATGTTTGATGGTAGTTCAATATGCCAAATGATCTACAAGATCTGATTGCTTTTCTCGTGGTTGTACCCCTGGATTTCAGATGGTGTGGTTTGACCGTTTAGGGCTGACCATGAGACTATCTCTTCCACTTTATCGTCAGCCACTTCTAGTTTGCTTCAATCAATTTACTCAAACCTCTTCCTCCACAATTAAATGTAGTATTCGTCCTGCCACAACTAAGAATGTCCAACTCGTATTCATTTCTTCGCCTCATCGCCAGCAAAACCCCGCGTTCTCCCCAAACATTCAATCTCCACATCCCTTGTTATGTGAAGCCAAACTCTTCTGCTCACCGTACAGGTATTACAAAGGTGGGCATTGATAGAGTAGAGCTTTCTGTGGCTGCTGTCCCACGCGATGGGGCAGCTAATATTGCAGTGTCGCACATTTTCGCAGAGGTGGGAATTACCCTTGATGTGTTCCCTTGCTTCCCGTCTTGTCTATGAAACAAGTTGACAAATTATCTGACTATTTGTTAGATCTTCAAAGTCCCCAAATCAAGTGTGGAAGTTATTCGTGGCGCGAAATCACGAGAGAAGACCTTGTGTGTGACCGATCTGCAGATCGGAAACGACGGCGAAGAAGCATACTTGCAGCGTGCCACGCAAAGATTGGAGGCCGCTGTCAAGACGCGAGACTCCTAGCGTAAAATTCGAATCTATAGAGCCTCAATTCTCAATCGCTGGCTCATAGGTCGATACGACTCGATTATTGATCCCGTGACGCAAGATTCCGTTGCTGTTTTTTTTTTTTTTTTTGAGCTCCGGCCGAACATCAACCTCCGACTACACCGAACAGTTCAGAAAACCAGCCAGAATGACAGACGATACACAGAGTGACATGGAAATTGACACAAATGTCTCTTCAACACAACCTGCCAAGCGCAAGGCCCCAGAGCCGAAACCAAAGACCCTCCATTTCACGTCGCGCAATCCACCTTGGACATACCTCAAGCTCAAGCTGTAAGCTATCCGCCCGCCTTTCTCCATTCGCCTCTGGCTACGAATTTTACATCGGAAACCAATCTAACCTTGAAATACTAGTATCCCCCAACCAGGAAGTGCACCACAACCCCTCGATCCCCTCTCCGCACGAACCTACCTCTCCTCCGCATTATCGCAATTCCTCGGTCTGACAGGAACAGCCATCCCAATCGACATTTTGAAGATCGAGAATGCATCGCCTTCAATCACGAAATATGACATTGTATGGATTCGCGTTCCTCGCGAGGACGTCTCGGCCGTCGTGAGCGCAGTAAGCTCATGGATTGGCGGAAATAACTCGGCAGGCTCTGCGGATGTCGCATGGAGGGTTTGCGCCAAAGGAAATTTCCTAGGTGCCCTAGTTGCTGGCTCGGGTGCCGATTTGTTCGTTCCTTAGGCTTGTGAGTTGTACTCCTGCTCTAAAGCGAGTATTACGCGAAATAATTACCGAACTGTGGCTACTGAATATATTTGGCTATTTGTCAGATACTTGCCCTCGGATCATGGCGATGCCCGTGCCGACTTCGGTCGCGATTCGTGGGTGCTGTTGTGCATAGTGGGAAGAGCGGCGTGGCATGATTGTGGCTGCGTGGCTGCAGCAGTGCCCCCTCCCCACCTCGACGATACATGCGACGAGAGTGTCCGCTCCAAATGGAACGGTCTTGACTTGGCCTGATACCGTGATCTTGGCAACAATTGAGTGCCTGAGACTGAGCCCAAGGCTCCGTGAGACATAAATGAGACACGGACACTTGGCCCACATCAGTGATAGAAGGCATATAGCACTTCTGGCAAGTTTGTATGCAATTAAGAAGAAACGGAATCGATTTTGGAGCCAATATCAACCTATGTACCCAACTGCAAGACAAAGAGAACTCCTTTTTTTGTGGTTTCGATTCGGAGTCAACATGACTCAGATGAAACGCCATAACTCACACGCTGCTGAATAAATCACAAACAATTTGATGCCGCTTGTTTAAATGCACGATTAATTGTCATCCTTTGCCAAGAAAGTGACCTCCTCTCCGTTGTTGGTGCCTTATTTGTAAGGGAGATTAGACTGACCCAGTGGATTTGGGACAGATGCTTTCCACAATTGTAGATGTGTCTGACGCAGAACTTGACGGGCTGACAACCACCTTGGTCCGAAGTGCGCCGCGAATATCCTCGACGCTTCGCTCTTTCCAGTCAGGGTATCCCAACTGGCTAAGGGGGAATAGAACAAGGTTTTCAGCGCGCGACATGAAGTCATCAACCTTTGGTCGGGGGTTAGCAGTCATGATGTCCATTTCCAAGGCAATCTGGCGGCAGTAGGTGTCCAGTGGAAGATCGTTCACATCCTGACCGAATGGATTCTCAATTTCACTGCCGATTGTAGCCAAGCCGAGGATGATGTAGGCGGCCACTTCAGGGTCCGTTAGAATTGCTCTTGTGATTTTATAAATGGAATGTTTCAGTGGTTCTTACCAATTGATGCTGGAATGGTGATGAATTGTAAGGTTTTGTAGAGCTGGAATGGAAGTACCAGGATGTAAATCCATGAAATCTGAGCAATGGCAATGCTGTATGCAGTAGGCAAGGGGGTATCCAGGACACGTTCTGTGCCGGTCAAAACCTCATTCAAGGTGGACATCATAGTGACTTTTGCCAGGTTAGATTTGGAGCACCACAAGATAGGGGTTTGAAGACTCACTAGCTTGACCCTGGTGCAGAGTTGAAGCCATAGTACCGTTGGCTACACATGAATCGATATATGCGGACAGATGGTTAAGAATTTCTAGGGGCAAATGTCCAAGAGGCTTCTTGGACCGCTTGACATACTTCCGAGGGTTTGACTCGGCGAAGGATACACCAAGGTACTCTCCTGCAGACTTCCAGATAGATTTGGGCGGAGGATTGACAACCATGCGGTCGTGGGCATCGCGGGCGAAAGTGTCGAGGTGCCCAGCCAGGCCAGCCAGATCTTCGTACGCAATATCGGGCTCGAAGCGGAGCTTGTGCTTGAGGGCAACGGCGAAGGCCAAAATGAGGTTTATCGCAGAGCTATCCGGAGCATGTTAGAATCAATACCAAATTACAATTCCCCGGGGGTATCGCGTACAGTTTTCTCAAGATGTCCTCTTTTCCCTCTTCACCTTCTCTCTCGCCAGTGTTGATCCAAATTGTACGCGAGAGGTTGCGAGACGTCTGAATGAGCTGGGCCCAATATTTTCGCCCATCTGCCCATCTGTAGTGTAAGCCAGGTTAGTGCACGGCTCGAGTTGAAGGTAGAAATGAGGCGATAGTGTACCTCTCATATGCAGTTGAGCTGCGGAATGACAAAGCCAAACCCACCACGAAACCCAGCACGGTGAGCAGGATGTTGTTGATACCAACTTGTGCGAGTTAGAATATAAGTGTTTCCGAAAATTTATTGTTTCATCATTTAGGGATTACTCACGGTCATGGACCATATGAGAAAAGACAGTAATAGCGGTTGACCAAATAGCGACACACAAAATCGGCATGATCATTTTCGGCATGATACTACCGTGCATTCGCATCATGATGGGCCATTTGGAGTGTTTTTCCATGTTCCGGGGGCCATGCTATACAACGAATCTGTTAGCCTGCCAAGTCTAGTATCGTATTTCCTCTTCATGTCCTCTTCGTCTTTTATATAGGACATCTCTCCGTCCCACTTACAAAATATCGCTCCAATTCGCTTGAATCCCGTCGATCAAACTTGAATTGCGTGTCTCGTGAGGTAGCGAGATGTTCTAAGAACGTTGGCCGGGGAGTGATACGCCCGACGGAGTCATGATCCTTCTCATGGTGCGTTGCCGCTTGTTGAGGGGTGGCATGGGAGCGCGACTCGGCAGGAACTGGTGCAGCAGTGCAGTCTGCTGCTGCTGCTGGTGCCGGGGCATCGGCTGGAGGGGCACTGTGGCCATCCGTCATGGTGAGACGACAAAGGATAGAAATGAAAGAATAAAAAGAACGTTAGTGAAGCCGGAACAAGGCCCGTTCGAATTTCAAGAAATTTGACTAGGAAAAAAAAGGAAATGTATAAGTGGAAGTTGGTTCTAAAAGAGTGTAAGCCACAAGAAGAAGAAGAAGAAAAAAGAAGGGGAAGTGAAGGTGAAACGTTGGCGTTCGATTGACGGGCGTTTCATCGGGATCTAGACTGAGGTGGAGTTGACGGACACGTCCGCATGTTTAATTTTAGCCCTTCAGGGGAAAGTAAATGGAATTCGATTGGTGTGGATTTCATGGGGAATCCCTCATATTTAGCCAGAATTGATACAGATCATCACCCGTAGAACATTCAAGGATGTCAATTTTGAGTGTGCTGGAATGAGCGTTGAAACAGATCTAGGGCCATTCTGTTCCCATCCAATGCGTTCGCCTGAGAAAGAGAGCTCAGGTTAAGCATTGGAAGTTCCATGGTAATCCTCATGGCCGGCTATAATTATCCACGGCGTACTCCGGTTTTTGATAGTACGGAGGACGTGGAGTACCTATAGGAGGATAGCAGGATAGAAGGATAGGAGGAATGTCTCGTATATTAATTTGGGGGCTGAGTGACTCAAGAGACGCTAAACCCCAAAGGGGAAAAGGATCCGGATTCGTATTTGCCCCCCTGCATTTTCCCGCTCTTTTGCCTTCCCACGTTCCAGGGACGTTGGAACACAGAATGGACAAGCCAATCGAAACCTTACTCAATCTAGATGAGATTGAAGATGCCGCCACTAAGACAGTGAGCAAAAAGGCATGGGCCTATTATTATTCGGCATGCGATGACAAGATCAGCAAGCACAGAAATACCGAGGTCTACCGCTCCATCCAATTGAGACCAAAAGTCTTTGTCGACTGCACCGAATGCGATCTCAACACAAAATTGTTAGACAACAAGGTGTCTATTCCAATTTATGTTTCTCCGGCAGCTATGGCCCGACTAGGGCACCCTTCGGGTGAAGCGGGAATCGCCGAGGCATGTCGCAGCTTCGGTGCTATGCAGATCATCTCCAACAGTGCTTCGATGACACCGGAGCAAATTGTCGCGGGTGCTGCCCCAGGCCAAGTATTTGGCTGGCAACTATATGTGCAGAACGATCGCACCAAGAGCGAAAGCATGCTGGCTCGTATCAATAAATTGAAGGCAATCAAGTTTATCACTCTGACGCTGGATTCCCCCGTGACCGGAAAAAGAGAAGACGATGAACGCAGCGGCAATGTCATTACTTCTGAGGCTCCCTATCAGAGTGAGAAAGACGCCGAGGGACCAGTCGTCCAGGCTAGAGACCCAGTCTTCAAGGGCATGGATCCTTCTCTGACATGGACAGAGACCCTCGGGTGGTTGGCCAAGCACACCGATCTTCCGGTTGTTCTCAAGGGCATTCAAACCCACGAAGATGCGTATATTGCTAGCCTATATGCACCTCAAGTCAAGGGTATCATCCTCTCAAACCATGGTGGTCGGTCTCTTGACACTGCTCCTCCTGCTGTCCACACCCTGCTCGAAATTCGGAAATACTGCCCCGAGGTCTTTGACAAGATCGAGGTTTGGGTTGATGGCGGCATCAAGCGGGGAACTGATGTGGTCAAGGCCCTTTGTTTGGGCGCACGAGGCGTTGGAATAGGAAGAGCTGCGCTCTGGGGATTGGGTGCTGCTGGAGTGGACGGCGTAAAGAGAACATTGCAAAGTATGACCATTTAAATTTGGGGGTTTTTGCGAAGCAATTTACTGACAAAGCGTAGTATTGACTGACGAGACCAAAACATGTATGCGACTTCTCGGGGCGAAGAATATCGATGAGCTCGGACCAGACCTCGTACGTCTCCATGTGTGCCCCGGCTGTTTTGAAACCTTCGACTACAAGTACTGACCAACATCTTCGTCCAGATAAATACTCGACAGGTAGAGAAAGAGATCTATGATGGACCGTCCGGTCTTGAAGACTGTCGTGCAAAGTTCCGGTCAAAACTGTAGAGGACCAAGGAATACTTTGGATTGCTGCAGGGAAATATAACCAGCGAAATACCAGTCTATATTTATTGTTGATTGGTGATTTGACTCTGTGTAAATTTAAGCTCAGCATCTTGTCTCCAAGGCTTCTTCATCTCTTTTCTGAACAGTTTGGTGGGAATCTAGGAACCTCAGATACGAGACGTCATCATTCTTCTCAAATTCCATATTCTATACGAGCACTTTGAACTTCCTCCTAATCCGTTTCCTCGTGGTTTCGTTTCGCCTTGTCTCCTTGTCATGTCTATCTCGTCTTGTATTCTACATGGCTCGTCTGATTTCGCCCGTCCGTACTTGTTCTCATCGCTCTTGGACTTTTCTTCTCCAGCCTTCTTCTTGATCGCAGCTCGTCGGGACATTGTCGCATCATGTCTTTACGAATTCTGACCGACCTCCCCCTTGAAATATTCTTGCTTATCGCCGAGAACCCTGAGTGTGAGAAAGACATCGACGCTCCATCGCAAGTGAATCGTGGTCTTTACAACCTCCTCAACCCATACCTCTATCGCATGAACATCTGAAGCTCTTGCAATGCTGCCATTGCTTGGGGCGCTTTCTACGGCCATGAAGGCACCGTTCGAAAAGCCCTGGAGCAGGGCGCCTCAGCAGGATGACGACACACCATAGCCCATAACCCTTGCAGCACTCGGTGATCATGTAAATATTGTCAGGCTTTTGCTTGATAATGGATTCCCCATGTTATTCTGGCAAATGACGACGACGGTAGAATGCCAAGGTGCATGGTAGATTCGTACTGTACTGGGCTTGGGTTACGTCTAATGCGAGATTGGCCGCCTTGGACAGCAGCTTTTGCCACAGGCCATGGCGATGTGCTACAAGTCTTGATTGAAGAGGGTGAATTCGTGCCGCGCGCCCGGGACCTTTTCAACACCGCCATCGATGGCGACTTTGAGACTCTTAAAATTCTTGTGAGAGGCTGTCGAAGATCGATAGACCTTGCTGACCCCGAGTCCACAGCTGTATTGGGAATCGCAATCTATGCATCATCGGATAACCTCGACATCGCGCGCTTTCTGATCGATTCCGGTTCACCAGTCAACTGCATGGATAACGATCAACATACCTCGTTAGCTTACGCTGCGGATTCTGGCAACATTGAGACGGTTAAGCTCTTGCTGGGCCATGGGGCTGATCCCGATCCTGAAACCATGGCCGCTAAGGTATGCCGTAGAACGGGGACATGTCGAGGTTGCAGAACTGCTGTTGGAGAAGATTGACTTTGAATGCAATATTACTGGTGGTGGAGATGACCAGTTTTGGCTACTCTATTCGCCAGCAGCCTGTGGCTTTGAGGATATTGTACGAGCTTGCCTTGATGCTGAGTGCAATGCAAATGACAGGCTGTACGTTTCCGATTGTCCTTTTGACGTGGATGATGCCTGCTGAGGATCTGACGGCGGATATTACTTGACGCCGCTGGACTGGGCCTGGGGGAGAGGGCACTCTGCAGTTGTGTATTTGCTCGAGGATAGAGGACATAAATCCCATATTAGACTGAGCTAGGACAGCCATACTTTCATATTTGTATGGGTTGCTGAAAATGTCACAGAGCTGCTCACATAGACAGTATTCATGAATGTTAAGTATGTATGTATGCATATGTGTATTGTGGATATTCTAAATGTCAGACATATTATCTAGAACAAAAGAGCACTGTCCAGGCTGGAGAATCCTGCGGCTACACCACCTTCATTCACCTCTTTCCCCTTAGTCCGCAACAAATACCCACCTTGTTCATTGTGCAAAACCTTCCCAGTATTTTCCCAAAGAATGGTACCGTAGACACCAAGCTCTGAGATGACGTCGCCTCGAAGGACCTCGCCGTCGTTCCGCAAGGCAACATTCTGGGCATTGGCTGCAGGGTTGATGAGTTCCATAAGCACCCAGCCTCTCCAATCCGATTCTGGAATGGATCGCAAAAAGCCCGGAATATCAGCTTTGTAGACATTGTTGCCACCTCCTTCACGCTGTGGTTTGAGCACGTGGTTCAGAGCAGTATCTGGGTTGAGAGCTAGCTCGCGACCTTGGCTGTTAATCGATAGGTCATATTGCGGGGCGAAGGTATCGCGAACTCTCTCAACAAGGGTAGAGTCTTTGCCCTTCAAAAAGCTTGAGAGATGATCTGGCCCTGTTGGCTCTGCTAAAACTTGCTGGACCTTTTTGCAGCCAGATAGCTGATTGAGCACCGTGGGACATTTGATCGCCGCTGAACGCTCCAGATGAGTGCGGGCTAGCCAATCCCGGCTAGATTTGTACTCATCTGGTGAATAGTAAGCTCGAAGATAGACAGTTGTTACTTCGAAGGTTGAGTCGGGAGAGTGAGGAGGCTGGTATAACAATGGTCGTGAGGGGTTTGAGCTGGGAATGGACGTTTGATCCAAGATATCCACGCTGGCCACGCGGAAGACTGGGATGTTGTGAATTGTCTTGAGCTGTCTCGAGAGTGCATGCTGATCAAAAACGTTCCGTTCTGTCTCCTGAACTACAAAGAGAACACACAGAGGGAGGGCTGGGGTAGACTTGGACACCCCGTAGGCTTTATGGGCTGCTGCCAATCCTGCTGAAAGTGTTTCCACTGCGGGATTTTCCGGGGGAACCCCGGATTGTAGCAGAGGATGAGGCGGGTAGTTGATTGATGAACCCGGCGGTGAGGCAAGAAGCTCGGTGTGCATTTGTCGCACAAGAGCTGAAAGGCCTCCAAACGATGACGAGATCGTGTTGAATTCAACTTGCTTTAGAGCTGTAGCACCTGTAGGCAGAACATGGGCCATGTAATCAGACCGGAAGAGGCCCAGTGACAGGTTTTGAACATATCCCTCCTTCTGCACATCTAGATGAACTTTCCACAAGTTTGAGACAAAGTCATCAACTTCAATAAGTCTGTACATGACCAATAATTAGCAATGAACCGTGTCAGAGCAGATATGTCCCTACCCTTCCACGATTTTCCCTAGCCATTCTTCATTGCATGTGATCATAGCATAGAGTTCGTTGTAGATCTCTTGGAGAGCAGTTGCTTCCTCGAAGCAAGTTCTGGGAAACGGACTGGGAAATAATGTCACTGGCGCATTTGTAGCCAACACCCCATTTGAATCAGTCCCAGATGGGATGATTGTTGGAGATGGTCGAACAGCAAGTCCATTTTGGATAGCCCAGTCTTTCACAAATGTGACCAGAAACTTTTGTTGAGCCGGGGACAGATCAGGCGGGTATTTTGAATAAATTGATTCTGCCATATTGAACAAAAATTGATTTACGAGAACACTTAATCCGAAATTGCGTAGATTCAAAGATTCTACCCTCGAGCTCCGGGGCCTGGGGATTTGTAATTGGCGGGGCATTCATCAACACCTGAGGCAGGAACACACATTCCACCGCCTAAATCTCCCGCCTTCCATTTTGAGAACATGATTGCTCCGTTCTTTCAGATAGCTCACCGCCTAATTATACACTGGCACAAAAAAAAGAGCTTCACACATCCCACCGATTGGGAAGGACCTCGGGCTCGGGGAGAGGGTGGATGTGTTCTATTTGGATTTCTCCCTCCCTCTCTTTGTTCTCTTCTATCCGCCTTGTCAACACTCTCTCGCTCACTTATCTTCACTCATTTAGCCTTGAGCCCATCTTTCTCTCAATGCTTGACTATCATCTCATTGATCTCAGTTTCTACATAATTGAATTTGTATTGACTTAGCCGTGACCTGAATTGGGGGCATCGAAATGGTAAGTCATACGTTTATCCCAAACCTGTCCCTTGCCCAGTCGCGTCTTTGAGACAAATGCGCGCCTGGGACGTCTGAACCGTCCGCTAATTAAGTACAGGCCCACCCAACAAATATGTCTTCAATGAAAGACCCCCAGGACTGGACAGTCGACGAGGTTGTCAAGTTTCTCTGCCATGACAAGCCCGGGGACTGGTCTTACAATTTGGCTTCCCCAGATCTTGTGGCTCTGGAGACTTCTCTCCGAGAAAATTCCATCTCGGGTCCAAGTTTTCTCGAAATCACGGACTACTATGTCAAAGAGCTAGGCGTGAGAGCTATCGCCCAACGCCAATTTATCTTGAAGGCTAGTAAATGGCTACAACAGCGGTCGCCGAAGTTCCAAAACGTTGGGTTGGAGCATCAACAGCCTCCTACCAAAGAACTTCCTGGGGAACAACAACTTTCACCAGAACGCCTCGATAATCCCATCAAAACGACTCCGCTTCTTGAAATTCCCGTCAATGCCACCCCCCCTTTTGAAGTTCCCACCAACCCAAACCCTCTTTCTGATGGCCCTCCACCGGCCAAAACGGAGGAGAAGAGACCTCGCCGGATGGAGACCACTGTTGTGGAACGACCACACATATCTTCTTCCCTGGCAACACGCTCGTCTCATGAACTACCTGATCCGAATTTCGCGGTTGGGCAAGAAGATTTCTTTGATTATCTTGCCAAGGCTTACCCCCCAAATGATGCAGAAGTCCTCCCAGTCTTGGGAGAATCCAGCTCCGAGAGTGATTATGATACGGATTTTCGCGAGGAAATGGAAGAGGACGAGGATCAACCCCGACTGGGTAGCCCCCTGGATGATGCTGGGAACTTGGAGGATGATGAATTTAATGAAATTGTCGACGAATACATCACTGCACGAAGGGTCCGGTTTGACGAGGCTCGACTGCCAAAAGAGCTGCCAAAAGGATTTCAAATTTGGACCAGAGGTCAACAACTCCCCAGCATGAAAAGTCACATTTCGACACGGCTCGCCCACCTGGAGAAACGTTGTCGGTCACTCCGCAAAGCACTCGCTGAGGCGCAACATTCATCCCGCTCCTCTTTACTCCAAGCATGTGCATGTCTCGACGCCACTGTCGTTGATATTTTCTTAGATAAATGGAAGCTTTCTGTTCTCGAGCAACCTACACCGCCGCCAAAAGTTCCTCGTCTACCACCCACCCAGCGGGTAGCAAAGCGCGATGTGAATTCAGATGGCGAAGAGACTTTGAGTTCAGATTCGGATTCAGTGCATGTCACCGAAGAAGAGGTGGAAGACGGATCATCAGAAGAATCGGAAGATAGTCTCGATCTTGCCTTTATCTCTGATCCCGAGGAGGACGATGTTACACAGAATCAAGAAGAGCCATATTCTCGCGCAGCTTATCAAGAAGGACCCTTCCGCGACTCCTCTTCAGACGAGGATCTGAGTCATCTTTTCTATAAAGAAGAGAACTACGAGCCCCCAACCGCCAAGAGGCGCCGCCTGGAGAGCTATAGCGTCAGCCCGAATGATTCAATCCCGCCACTCGTATCAATGAAAACTCTGCCGTTTGACCGGGACGTGGCATTGCCGTCGAAGGAGTGTGAGGAAGAGGGCCAGATACAGGCAAATCCCTATCCTATTAACCCAATGCCCCGCCAGTCAGTCGAATCCGTGGTTTCGGCGAGTGACAATGGCAGCGAAATCGATGAGGCTGTACGTGTTTTTGACGAAGTTTACCCTATGACATGGAAAACTATCGAGGAGAGTGGTAATCGCTATCGCCTAATAGCGAAAGCCCTTGGAGGTCTGTCGGACAATCGGATCGACCAACTTTCTAAATTTCTCGAGTCTTATATGTCCTTCTCTTATCGAGAATTTACGGGAGATGCGCTGAAACACATGTCTGACAATTCACCGGTAATAGAAGGATGGGATCCCGAGGAGAGCCATTCTGCAATGTTGATGACCGCCTTGTTTGTGTCGTGGATCAACGTTATCCAAGTTCCTCTTGGAGCCTTTACAGCAAAGCAAGTCAAGAGTGCGCTTGTAGCAATCAGAGACGACCTTGATGAAGACCAATTCTCACCATTCTTTGAAAGCTTAAATGATCTTCTTAGGAGGTACAAAAAATGGATGACTTTGTCATCTCGTGTCCAGCCTCATGAACAGGAACTCACCCAGCACCAGTGGCCCAAGCGCAAGAAAGCGGCAGTCTCCATGACTCTGAACCGGGCTCAAAAGCATGGTCAAGAACGACTGGCAAATCAAGATGAGGCCAAACGAGCCCTCCGATTCCGGGTTGACTATGAGCAAATACCCGCAAAGCCAGTTTCGTTCGGAGATCCTATTATTCACCTTGATCCATATATCGGTAGCCGGATCCAGCCACACCAGCTCCATGGGGTTCAGTTTATGTTCCGGGAAATCGCTGAGAACAAAGGACCAGAAGGGTGCTTGTTAGCACACACCATGGGGCTGGGCAAGACCATGCAAGTGTAAGTTCTAATTGGCTGACTTGTTGGGGCTCGGCTAACTCCTGTATAGGATATCACTTCTAGTTACCATTTCTACTGCTGGGGTATCACATGATCCGGCAATTCGAGCCCAGATTCCCCAAGAATTGCGACAGCTCAGAACCCTGATACTGTGTCCAGCATCGCTCATTCAAAGTTGGTGCAGGGAGTTTGCAATCTGGTCCCCTGACAACCATAATCTCGGCAAGGTCCGACCCATCCTGGCAAAATCTTCGACCACGGGCCCTGACCGAATTGAAGACATTCGCTCTTGGAATGACGAGGGTGGTGTACTGATCATCAGTTATGAAATGTTCCGGAATCTGGCTGGGAATAATGCGGGCCAGAAAGAGTATCTTGAAAAACAATCGAGCAATGAACTTTTGAAGACTTGGTTGCTGGAAAGCCCAAATCTTGTTGTGGCCGACGAAGCGCAGGTGTTACGCAATAACACAACAAAGATTGCTCAGACAACCTGCCGCATCCGCACCCGAAAAAGGATTGCCTTGTCAGGGACTCCGCTATCTAATGGCTTGAAAGACTACTATTGGATGGTGGATTGGATTGCTCCCGGATACCTGGGAACCTTTGCTGATTTCAACGAACACTTCATCATGCCAATTGAAAACGGCTCGCATGTTGAAAGCACCTGGCTTGACCGAAGACAGGCACTCCAGCGCCAGGAGGTGTTCCTTAGGATCATTGACCCAAAAGTACAGCGAGCTGACATGTCCGTACTGACAAACAAATTGCCACCCAAGTACGAATTCTCTGTTTATTTTGAGCTGACAAGCTTTCAAAAGGCTGCTTATAACCTCGTCATTGAAGGTATACCCCTAGGCAAGACTGCGAATGTGAGCTCGAAGCTTCTGTCCTGGCTGTCCCCTATTAAACTCTGCTGCAATCATCCAGCCCTTCTCAAGGAAAACCTGGAAACCCGGGCAACCAAAAGCGCACCTAGCAGACAAAGGAGTCCCAGCGTTGATGATCATGGCCTTAATGCCGGCTTCGACATTACCACCGAAGAGGTAACGCTTCCACGGTCGACGGTGTCTGAACTGGATGTCCTATTCAGCACGGTTCCTAACTTGCTGGATCCTAGCTTATCCAGTAGAGTTGCGATCCTTGATGAGATTGTCAACCAAGCAATCAAGGTCGGGGATAAGGTCCTGGTCTTTTCATCCAGTATTCCAACGTTGAACTATCTGGCAAATTTGATGGAAAGAACGCAAAGGAAGTATTATCTACTTCATGGCACGGTGGCCACAGCTGAGCGTCCTGAGATAATTCGTAAATTCAACAAGGATGAGTCCATTCATGTGTTTCTCGTTTCAACTAAAGCCGGTGGTATCGGGTTGAACATTCACGCAGCGAATCGAGTTGTGATTTTCGACTTCCTCTTTAACCCTACCTGTGAGGAGCAAGCCGTTGGACGTGCCCATCGTATCGGCCAGACAAAGCCGGTTTTTGTATACCGACTTATCGCCGGCGGAACGATTGAGGAAAAAATGTACGGCAAGACTGTCTTCAAGAGCCAGCTTGCGGGCCGACTGCTTGATGACAAGCATATCGCTCGAATGGGGTCGAAATTCGAGGAAAAATACCTGGTCCCCTGGGTAGAGAGTTCCCAGAAAGGTGGGATTGATGATCTTGCATCCGAGAAGGATGCAGAGATGATGGAGAGACTCAGGTCTCGATGCGCTGAGTCTATACTCAGCATCAAGCTTTGCGGCGAGGAGCTTGATCCCGATGACAGGTTGACGGTCGCAGAACAGCAATCCGTGGAAGACGCGTTGAGACTGCGACGCCTTCAAATGTCTTCAGGATTCTGAGCTTGTGCCGTTGGCGTTCTTTTCCCTTTTCCCTCTTCTTTTTCTCTTTGTTTGAGTGATACCCAACTTCGTCAATGTTTACATATCTATGTCATGATATACAAGATTCTTTCATGACATTTCACTGGTAGACGTAAGAGTAGTCCGCCGCCTATGTCTTGTGGTATCTTTTTGACAGAATTGTCATTAGTCAGTATTATTAGTAGTCTTTTCAGATGCGTCTTCTCCTCAGTCATGTAGACCATAGGAAGAAGGCAAGAGCAGAAGATATGCACTGGACTTTTCAAGGATCTTTGTATTCAATCTCAAAAATATGGGACCAAGAGAGCAGTGATGTATGGAAGTAGGAGAACCTATACCTATGACCACTCTAGGTAGAAGCGGACCTACTACTTGAATGCTGTTCTGCTAGTATCCTTATTACCTATGGATGGATATACATATTCAAGGTCCATAATATCAGGAGGTTACACTGTTTTTCATTGCTGAATAGGGCTATGGACATGAAATACATGGAAACAAGGAGAACAAGAGCCACGAGACAACAACAATCTTTCCATTCATAGAGTGGAACCTCAAAAGACACAAAAGCCCTCAGAGAATTCTTCGGACAACAGAGAGCTATCTCTGTAATAAAGGTTCCAAAAATTGGGTCGAAGGAGATGAGAGCAGAGCCCCTTCTAAGGTCGGTTCAGCTCCTGGCAGACAATGGGAGTACCCAGACACGTGCAGTCAGGTTTAGCAGAGGTCATAGCTAAGGCCCCTCAGGTATCCGAAGATGACCAGTCGGTAAGCCTGCACGTATGCTATAGGTTGTTCGCAGCCCAGCCCAAGACCCCATCGCCCACCAGAGTCCTCAGGATATACCGATCACCGGACAACAGTAGACATATGAATATGCCCCTGAAGCTGACCAACCGGTCAAAAAATTCAAGAATGCTCAACAGGAACAACGATGTGCAATGTGGACCCGGAGTGGTTGAAGAAAAAAGAAAAGAGAAAGCAAGTGGGAGGGGGGAGGTATGTATATTCCTCCACTGGCTGAAGGCAATGGAGGAACTGGGGTAGGTGACGATGTTCCCAAATAGGAAGGCACCTCAGATTGGAAAGATGCCCCTGATGGGTACATGGATGACACTTGATCCAATCCCATGTTTCCCCAACCCATAGCAAATCGAGAACCCGGCTACGTCTTTTAAGATCTCTTTTTCTGTAATGAAGTGTCCCCCTCATGAGTGACGTAGCTAGAAGGCCGAGCAAAAAACAGTGATATGGAGAAAAGAAGCAAGATGAGGCTATTTTTTCATCCATGTTGAGTATCAACTACTAAATAGAAGTCATTTTCCAACTCTAGCATCACACCAAGCCTCTATTGCAAAAGAGACTCAAGATCAGCAACACGAGTACCTCTATCTTCAGCTCTCTTCTTCGCCGTTTCCCGGAAAGCAGCAAGCATGAGGCTCCTCTTGCGCTCCTGGATAGCCAACACCCGTTCTTCAATACTATCCTCCATGACTAGTCTCCAGACCGTCGTTTCCCGCTTCTGCCCAAGCCGGTACACCCGATCGACAGCTTGGTCCTCAATCGCAGGCGCCCACCAGCTGTCACACAAGATGACCTGGTTCGCTGCAACGAGGTTGAGACCAACACTGCACACGCTCAGACTTGCGAGGAGGACGGTACATTCAGGGTCGTTGGAGAATGAGTTGATGGAGTTGTCGCGTTTCACAGATGGCATCTTACCATCTACACGGGCGAACTTGATTCCGCGCTGCTCAAGGTGTGGCTCGATGAGATTCAGGAATGACGTCCATTGACTGAACACTACGGTTTTTGTTCCTGGTGCCTGACCCTGAGCAGTCAAGATCTTGACGAGGGTTTCAATCTTGCTGCTTGGACTGTCAGGGTCTGCCTCAACGATGTCGGTGTCTTCACCCAGTTCCACAGCTGGGGCGACGAGTGCGTTGGTTTCGTTGATATCTGCGCGGCAGAGCGGACACTTGTGCTGACGTTCGATAACCTGCTCGATGCAGCCTCGACAATAGGAGTGGGCACATGCGGTAATGACGGGCTGCTCAAGGTTGTCGAGGCAGATGGCACACATTTCTTGGCTTTCGATCTGGAGCTGCAGCATTTCTTGTAGAGCACGGACGTTCTCAGGTGTCAGAGGTACGACTTTGTGCTCCTCCAGCATGCCCATGAGTTTGTCAACGCGGTTCTTGCAGAGCGCCCAGTGATTGCAGACTTGACGAAGACGGAGAAGAACCTCGAGGAGATGAGAGTACTTGGTTTGGCCATCTTTGTCCTTGAAGTCGAGGAGAGCACCTTTGGCCTCGGTTCTATGATTGGTATTAGTAAATTGGTTTCACTGTGTAGGTAGTCTCTTGATACATACTGGAAAGCATTGTACTTCTCCTGTTCATGAGCATTGAACTTGATTCGAATGACACGAGAGGTCATCTCGGGTAGCTTCAAATTGATGAAGCCCATATCCTTCCTACGGCGCAAGCAGATGGTACCCATGAGAGCCTCAAGAAGCAGTCGAGCCTCGGGCTCTCCTGCAGTCAAGGGTCGAATCAGGACGCTGTTAAAAACCCCCAGATCTTCTAGGCCACCGGAAAACTTCAGGAAACGAATTTGCGCATACAAGTCCTTCAGAGTGTTGATAATCGGGGTTCCGGTCAAGGTCCAGCGGGAGTCGGCTTGCAAACCACAAGCCGCAAGGGAGGCCTTGGAACTGGGATTTCGGATGGTGTGACCTTCATCAAGTACGACACGTCGCCAATGCAGCGAAAAGATGCCCTTAGCAGGCGCCTTCTTGGAGTTCGGATTAAAGTCTAGGGCCAGGGCTCCATAACTTGTGATTACAACATCATACTTTCCCAAATTCGCAGCTTCCTTCTTACCAGAGCCGTGATAGATCAAGACACTCGGGGCTGTTTCTTTGTGGGCATGGTCCTGGATCTGATTTCTCCAGTTGCTCATGACACCGACAGGAGCAACGATCAATGTCGTCTTAGATGAGCTTGCAGTAAGTGGCTTTGCATTTGCAAGAATCAAAGAAATGATTTGAATTGTCTTGCCCAATCCCATGTCATCAGCAAGAATACCACCACTGGCGAGGGTCGGCTCCGTGGCCGTGGCATAGTTTGTTGCGACATTAAGGAACTCATTGTCTTTCCGTTTCCACAACTGCACGATGTCGTCAGAGGCCCTTGTAGGAAGGCTTGGTGATTCTTGTTTGATCATCCAGGCTAGTCCTTGGCGCTGATACGGAAGCAACTGGGTGGAAAGACCGGCTGGAGTATCGACCATCGGCAAATTGACCAGATCAGACTCCTTCTGTCCGAACGTCTCCACAACCTGGCCAATATCTCGGGGATTGAAGGTAGAGCTCTGGTTAAGAAGTTCTTCCAAACTTTCATTTTGCTCGCCACCAAGTCCTGTTGCGGTCGAGAGATTGGCATACTCCGAGTTCTGGTTGGCTTGCCATTGTGATGCAGCTTTACCAAGAGCCATGGCGCGAGCTTTCTTTGCGGCCTCCTTCTGCTGCTTCTCGGCTTCTTTCTCTGCCTTGCGTTCCTCACGCTCCAACTCGTTCAGTTGGCGAACAGGAAGCTTGTCTTTCTGCATTCGTTGCTTCAGATCGGATCTTTTGATAGGATCCCGACTTCCAAACAGCTTCAAATCCACTGGACATGTAAAATCTCCAATCGGCCCAGTCAATATGCCTTCAATGATGAGATCGCGAGCATCCTTTGATGACAAACGTTAGCAATGCCTCGAAACAATACGATTGATCATTTCCGTCATTTCTTACAATGTATGATGCTAGCTTGGCTGCCATCTGTCGTGGGATGTGACCGATTTGGGCGCCCATGACATTATCAACCCTGATAGCATTGCGATCATATTGATTATTGGCATCTCGATTAATGATGACACGTTCATTTGGATTGGCCCGGCCCCTATAAAAGCGCACGCCGACGATCTTTGTCGAAACAATACCTGTTTAGTCTTATTTAGCAAAGCCTCTAAAGCGTGACTAAAGAACTGAGATCATTCAAGCATACCATAGAGGATGGAGGTTGTTAGAGAGGTTTCATCCACCTCCTGAGATCCTTGAATTACATCGAGCGCTTCTTCATCATCCTCGTCGGCACCAGCTACTTGTGACAGCTGATTCAGTGGAATAAAGTCGACAGAGTTGCCAACTCTCTGGCCCAAGCTGTTATCGGGGTCCAATGGAATGTACTCGACAGTCTCGCCGAATCTCTGGCCTGAGCTGGGCGTTTCGGTGTTTAGAGTCGGAGCTACACGAGTGTATTTTGGCGCTCGCCCAGACTGTGTGTATAAGGCATTTTCAGTAGAATCATTAGACTTGCGTTTTCCCGCCATGGTTCTCCGGCTTTACTCAAGACGGTGGATACAAGGCTTGGCAATAAAGATTGGGAAATTAGGGAATTTTGGAGAAGAGCAAATGTATCCGGGACCCTGCGTGGTTTCTAAGGAATATCCCTCTCAACCGTCAATGGTCAACGGCAAAGGGCCACAAATGAAGAGATAAATATGTAGGAATTGTTCGCTTCAGGGCTGTCACATTACGCCATATAAACGCCGATTGGGTTTAGCGCCCGACGCGTCAAGACACGGCCCCACGTGACTTGCGGGGAGCCAGTCACGTGGGCCCAGTCACGCAGAGAGATAAGCTGATAACTCCCAGTCCGCTGAGTGGACGTCTGGCATAGGGCAAGCTCCACGGCCTGTACAAAGTTGATATATGAGTGTGAGCTAATTGAGACAATATCGAAAATATTCATGGATGATTCAACCTCTCGCACTCTACCATATCGTTTTCATTCTTATTAAGAGCCTAGTTATAGCCCATTGCCGTGCGGAGAAACCCCGGCGCTTGCGTGGGGTATGCCCCGTCCCCCGGATTTTATCCGCTCCAAGGTTGTTGGGAGGTTTCCACTGATGCATTGACAGTCCTTTTTGTACCTCTTTCGATGGAAATGTCAGTTTCCCAGATCAAAGTGATGCCGTCATATCAGCCATTTCAATGTCTCGTCTGTCAAAGTCGATTTACTCGACATGAGAACCTCAAGCGACATTCAACGCTACACTCCCGCTCTCAGGCCGAGGCCTCGCTTCCCTGTGACTTTTGCCACGCCACATTCTCCCGTCCCGACTTGCGCAATCGTCATATGAAGAGGAAACACCCAGAGCACGAGCAGCATCGAGTGACGAAGAAAACACAGCGCCAACCAGCACCCAGACAAGACCGGCCGCATTCTTCTGCCTCGCCGACAGCGATCTCACCTACAAGAAGTCACGGTGGCTTGCCGTCTCCTGGATCCGTGCATTCGAGCCCAGGAGAGGAGACGAGATTCGATAATGATGCGATCTGGCGCCCAGTAATGAGGTATCCGCAACAGTTTGACCGTGATCACCTCACGGAAAACCCGAATATTGCTACGCCAAGGACCAGGATAGCCAAGACACAAATAACGGGAGATCTATTACAACACCAACCGACGACGAGCGATTCCAACTTGATCGATCAGATTGTCCAGGACGGTACAGATCTGGAGCGGAGCTTACTACTAGGGACATCCTTTCTGAAGTCCACTAATCACCTTGACAACCAACAACATTCGATGACTACCTTACAGGCTGAGCCAATTGATACAAGTCTAGCCGAGTACAGCTTCAATCATCCAATCTTGGATAGATTGTCGCCAAATGACATCCCTCAGCTCCAGGACGATTGGACCCCGACTGCCCTACAAATTTCAAGAGGCTGCATTCTATTTTTCAACTCTGTCACTCATTTCCTCCCTTTTCTCCATTCCTCGACATTTGACCCGACACAAGCTCCTCCTCATCTGGTCCTCAGTATTCTTTGCCTTGCCTATCAATATGGCGAGGACCCAGAGTGCGGGGACCAAGAGGGCTCAGGCAAAAGCTTTTCTAAACGTTGCTTTCATAAAGCCCGAGCTCTCCTTGCCTCAGATGAAGATAGGCCTGACGCTTCAACAATGATTACCACATTAGTTCAATCATACTTGCTCCTTCAAATTTGTGCCATGATGTACCTTTGTGGCGACAACTCGGCATGCGGGCTCAAGATGCATTCGCATATGATTTCTCTAGCTCGCGCTGGACGAATGACACAGCCAATGCCCATTGAGTCAGGCACGACAGCAAATTTGGAGTCATTATGGCGGGAATTTATCAAAGCCGAGTCGCACAAACGGACCCTTTTCGCCGTGCATCAGATCGACGCGCTTTGGTACCAATTCCTTTCTATTCCCCGCTCGATCTCACACTTGGAGATCAAGCATGATATGCCCTGTCCAGAAGACCAATGGTCTTCATCATCTTCTGCTGAATGGGCTCATCGGCAACTTGTTGCAAGAAACGCCGGCCCCTCAGTCACATACACGGATGCTGTTCGACGCTTCCTTTCATCTGATGACGAGATCGCCTGTATTCCGGCATTTGATCCATACGGCGCCATCAACATTGCGCAATTTCTGATTTCTAGCGCCCGGGAGATTTCAGGCTGGTCTACAATGACAGGAATCCTCAGTATGGAACGATTTGGCGCGTTACGATCATCTCTCGTTGCACTCAGCCCGTTTATCTGCTCCAACAACCACACAGCACAAAAAGCGCCTGCGACAGCATGTGCTGCAACTTGGGAGACTGCAATGATTGAGCTGCAGATGTGGTCACCATCACATACAGGCGGTATTGTGGAAGGAAGCATAGACGCCGTTCTCAGTCAGTCAACATACTTAGTACCGTCGCAGTTCCTGTGTGATACAGACACGGCCAAAGCTATACAGCCACATGTCAACTGGTTCCTACGATATCTCGATGAGACACTCATATTGGACTCTGAAGCGCCGTGGGTTGCCTTGTATGCGTATAAAGCCTTTTTGATTGCCTGGCAGCTGATTCAGATTGGCATGCCTGGCGCAATGGATGCTGTGGGCGTCCAGGATGGTGATAGGGAAGGAGCTCTCATGTGGGCGAGAAAGGTCTTCCAGCGAAGGCAGAAATGGCAGCTTGGAAAGCTCATTTTGTCTTGTTTAAATGATCTAGACAAATGAATCAGTATCTTATTATGCTCAATTGATTTGCCGAATTTGCTTGTGTTGATACCTTATTGCAAGTTCGATCGATGTAATCATCCTCAAGTAGATTATCATTGTTATACCCATTTCCCTAAACTAAAACATACCAAAACAAATCGACATAACCCCATATACTGATCCCAGCAATAAGTGAGTAAAATGATACAAAACAACGTAGTTACTGATCAGTACATCTCGTAGCGCCATTTGAGCTGTACCATCTCCTCTGTGACGCCGCCCTTGATAACCTTGGCTATTTCCACGGGGTCACCCGAGTCCAGACGTTTGTTCTCGCGCAAGACGAGCCAGCGGTATGCAGTGATCGTAAATCCGAACAAGACAGCAGCACCCATAAGCGTGCCGAAGGCAGCATAGAAATGAGGCTCTCCAAAGTATAGGTACGAGGCCCAGATGTTGGATGTGCCACCAATGGCATTGACCAAAGCAGAGGCGGCCGCTCGCTTCGAGATGGGGCGTGCAAGATGCAGGTTGATGGTCTTGTAGAGGAGGAGCTGGGGACCGACGGAGGCGAAGGGAAGGATCATCATGGAGAAGTAGCGGGCGCCCACGTTCGTACTCGCAATCGGGATAATGTACATCGGGATCGAGATGGCGATACAAAGGAGAATGATTGGGTAGACGGTATTTTTTCGATCAGAGTACAGCATGAGTACGTAGTATACAATCCCAGCGAGGATATAGGGAGGTGCCGTGAGAAGCAAGCTGATGGTGCTGGTGAAGTTGAGAGAGCCCACGAGGGTGGGGAAGTAGTTGGCGATGGAGCCCTGCGTTTGAGATAACATGTTGCAAAAGATGAGAAGGATCAACTTAGGATCCGAGAGGGCATTGACAAAACCTTTCATCACACTCTCATCCTCTGTGCCCTCTGCGGCACCAGCTTCAGACTCAACACGCCACACGGCGCAGTCGCGCTCAAGCTGGGAGAGAATGCGGCTGTTGTGGGGAAATTCTGGCATAATGCAAGCGCAGATGATGCCAATGCCAACGGTGGCACTGCCCTCGATGATGAATAGCCACTGCCAGCCGCGGATTCCATGGTGTCCATCAAGTTGAAGGATAGCTGCGGCAAAAAGACCACCGAAGGCATTACCGACTTGCTGGGCAATATATAGCCCGGCAATACGCTTCCCTAGCTCCCTCTTTGTGTACCAGGCAGAGAGGTAGTAGATGGCACCAGGGAAGAAAACGGCTTCGGCGGCCCCGAGAATTGCTCGGACAGCGAGGAGCTGACCATATGTCGTAACCACCGCTGTGCACGCCGAGATACAACCCCAGATTGCCACGGCACCACAAATGTACATGCCGGGTCGGGAGAACTTTGTAATGAGGAGGTTGCTGGGAATTTGGAAGGGCAAATAGCCGACGAATAGAATGGAGATAGCCGTGGCGAATTGCTGTTCCGACATGTGCAAATCTTCCATGATGCCTTGAAGTTTAGAAGCCGATAGATTTTGGCGATCAATGTAGTTGAGAATGTACAAGATAGAGATTGTTGGGAGGACAAATAGGTCAACCTTTCGGACAGTCTTCTTGTTGAGAGTAGTGAACTCATCGTCGCTGAGTGCGCGAAGGGACTCTGGCATGCGGTCGTAGGCACCGAGTTGTCCTTCTGCGGAAGAGACGTTGTCCTCAGCCAGGTCAGACTCTGGGTCTTTCTTGTCCATAGGGAAGGACATGAGGAGGGAGTACTGCTGTTTGCCAAGGCCGCAGCAAGTATAAACTATGGAGAGTATGTTGCAGGTTGCAGGCTGTTGTCCTGTAGAGGATACTTGAGCTCCCCATATATAGCTCAGCTCAGTATCTACATGTACCGCAAAGCGGACTCTTTCTCAAAGAATCTCGAGGCATTGATTGGTCGAGATTGGGTCATTCGTAGATGATAATGAGACGAGTAGATAGCCCTGGAGATAGGCGTATGAAGGAGCGCCCAATGATATCTGTCCAATTGGAATCGATTACCCCAGAATGTAGAGTTTGGTTGAAATCTGGGGTACATCGAGCTAGCCTGGGAGGAGCTCTCGCATGTAGTCGATAAGAAGTTTTTTGGGAGGTGCAGGCTGAGCCAGCTGAGTTTAGCGGCCATTCAGAAATAAGCCACATTTGTGGGCGCGAGGCCTATATAATATTTTGACTTTCCAGAAGGGCCACTAATGTCATCTGTAAACACTAGATAAGCCACCCCGTAAGTTTGCCACTAGTTTGCCCTAACTACCATGCAAGAGCTCATGTTTACCTCGTCTAAGCTCCTCATTTTCGTCTAGTTCTTACTATCTTTGGTCGAGATAAATGAGGGGAATAAGGATACATACACCAATAAATGATACTTAAGTTGGCATCTTATTGATACATCGCGTCTTCATCCTACTCTCAACTCCCAGGCAGGCCCAGATTACCATCTTCATATCCTAATACTTCTACCATCACAATGGCTTACACTACCGCTCTCACAACCTCAATCGAAAACTCTCGATTGAGGCTCCTCAACAAAATCAAAACTGGCGAGTTTCCACTTATGACCTTCATGGCCATTCCTTCCATCCGCCAGGCCCAGATCGTTGCCTTGACCGGTGTCGATGGTATCATCATTGACTGCGAACACGGTCACATTGGCGACGATGCCATGCACAACTCTGTTGCTGCCATCTCCGCCCTCGGTGTCTCCCCGGTCATCCGTATCCGTGGTCCCGCCCACGATATCCTCAAGCGTGCCCTCGATACCGGTGCCCATGGCATTATGGTTCCCCAGATCAACAATGCTGAAGAGGCTGAACAAATTGTTGCTTCCTCAAAGTTCCCTCCCCAAGGTGTGAGAGGTCAGGGCTCAGCCTTCCCTGCAATCGGGCACGGTCTCACAACTCCTGAATACATGAAGTCCGCCAACGAGACCATCATCACCATGATTCAAATAGAGACCCGGGCGGGTGTCGAGAACGTCGATGCTATCTGCGCTGTGCCAGGTGTAGACCTTGTTTTCATTGGCCCCAATGATCTTGCCCAGTCACTGCTTGGATACACACCTGCTCGTGGCGATGAGCCGGAGTTTGTTTCTGCTATTGACAAGATTATTGCGGCCGCGCGCAAACATGGAAAGTGGGCTGGTCGCATGGTCAATAATGGTACGGCGGCCAAGGAGGCTCGGGGGCGGTATGATACCGTCGCCGTCACTGGTGACACTAAGGCCATTCAGAACTGGTACATGGCAGAGTTTGATATTGCTCGCTCATGAGAGAGCTGATGAATTTATGGTGTTTTATGATAGACTTTCATCTATAAAAATTTAAATAGACAAATTGAGTTTCACTACTTCCAATTTCATTGCTACTCTATAAGAATTGATTGCAACTTCAGATTCGGAGAATCTCCGATCTAGCTATATGTATTGTTCGGACGTGGGAAACCAACATTAAGTAGACCGTTTCATCCCTTAAAATGGATCTTTATGCTTTCTAATCCCGTTGGCCGAAATTGGAGTAAAATAAAAGCCAGTTTATTGATTCGTATACAGTGACTATTTGAAGAAAATATGGTCTTGTATGCTTGATTCTAAGGACAGAAGCTAATGTGGTCATACACAGCACACAGTAGGATCCAGTCCTAGAAGTACGTAGGTGCTTGATTAATCTTATGTCTAACTATATACTAAGTCCCAATTATGTAGTATATTGGTAACTCTGCTTTACACCATGTAGCAACTTGATACTGTATTCAAAGATGATTTTAAATTTCATTGTCTATATTCTAAAAATTTTCATAATATCATTCAAGCTTGCGCAATACACTCGATCTCAATGACAGTGCCATTTCCAGGGGCAACCGCTTGAAGACATGAGCGTGATGGCATGGGCTGTGGGAGGAAATCGATGTAGGCTTCGTTCATGGCGGCGAAATCCTTCATATCGGCGAGGTAGACATTGTACTTGACCACTTGCTCAAGGGAAGAGCCGGAAAGCTCGAGGACCTCCTTCAGGTTTTGCAGAACGGTTCTCTGTGCGAAGAAATCAAGAGTTAGCCAATGCCTAGTACCCGAATAATGCTTGGGCAACTGGACTTACAGTAGCCTGTTTAATCTCTCCCGTGGCAGTTTGACCTGCGCAGAAGACGAGCCCGGGGACTTTGACGGCAGGACCTGGATAGGTTAGTCAGTCATTTGAATTCTTTTTCCAAGCGAATGCAAGGGGATTTGTATAAGATACTTACAGTTGTGAGGCTTGGTAGGGAACTTTTCGCTGGAGATGAGTTGACGAGACATCTTTGCTGGTAGTTTTGAAGAGTATTGGGGCTTTTTGACGGTTAAACTTCACGAGTGTGTCAAGCAATTTGAAATTCAGAAGTACTGGGAGCTTGTTTAAATTTGCTCGAGCTATCCCTCATGCCTCTCTATCTGAGGCATATTGCCAACCACAAAAAGGGGCAATTTTGATTATCGCGATGGAGGAGCAGTGTCAATTTGGTAGGTTATTCATTGTCATTTACTAGGGGATATGGGAGGAGTGGGAGGAGTGAGGAAATGGGAGGAGCACATGATGTTGGGTAGCGTATTGCGGCCATATCTTTCAAATACCTATCAGTGTCTGATTCCTGGCCTGATAATCAGTACTGACTATATGGCCGCAATCATTTGCGGTTGACACCTCACTTCCAGCAATGCTCGCCCATGAATCCTCTTCCAATTTGGGCCTAGCGCCAACGCTTTAGGTTATGCTTAAGGTTTCCCAGCCCAGACCATGCCATTTTCGGCCATCGGAGGGAAGGAGGAGCCCCCGAGGTTCGATTGACGATAACAGACGAGATATCGGGAGAGTGTGGGGAAATGAAACAAGGTGCATCCAACCTCACGATTACCACGCCCAGAATATGGTGGTGCCAGTAGTAGAGGTTGATAGTCCTCCATTAGATCTAATCTAGCTGAATGAAGCATGCCATACTTACCTTACCGGATATCGGATGCGCAGATAGGGTTTCACGTCTCATCAGATATAAAGTAGATATAGAACTCGATCAGATAATCTTCCACACACTGTCTTCAGCATCGATCACAACCTTGAACCATTCTTTGCACAAACACTACCATGGCACCTGCAGCTCCCTTCAATCCCCCTGCGGCCGACCTGCCTGGCAAGCCTTTTGTCCCAACATGGATCCCACCACCAGTTACTCAGCAAAAGGAGAACTTTGCGGAGCTTAGCTCCATTGATCTCTCTTTGATGGACTCGGATGATCCTGCTGTTGTTGAGAAACTTGTTCAGCAGGTCAAGGTCGCCATTCGTGATGATGGATTTCTTTTCCTCGAAAACTATGGAATTTCCCTAGAACAGGTGAGTCTTTGTTCTCGGGAAATACTCTAAGGTTAATGTCACTCATAATATGTCTCTTTCAAATAGCTCCACCGTCAATTCTCTCTTGCACAGTATCTATACAATAATATCAGCGAAGAGGACAAGGAACGCCTTTTGTTTAACCCTGAAACTGGTGTCTGGTCCGGCTACAAACATCCCTACGGATTCAAGGTAAAAAAATCCCCCTCATGCATTAAGAAAATCAGGCCCTATACTTACTATCCTTTTTGCTGATTAGCGCGAACGCGGACCCGAAGACGGTATCGAGCAATTCAACTGGTACAAGCCCGACTGGAACGACATCAACCGTGTTCCCAAATGCCTTCACCCATTCATGGACGAGATTGAAGAGTTCTCCAACTATCTGACCAAGTCCGTCAACCGCCGCCTCCTGACTCTCTTCTCCCGCGTCCTCGAGTTGCCCGACGACTATCTCTGGGACAATGTTCAGTCACACGGTTGTCCAACTGGCGAGGGATACTTCCGTCACGCGCTTTTCCGCCCTGTCCAGAAGAAGACCCAGGAGGCATCCAAGGGCCTGCGCATGCACGGTCACACTGACTTTGGTCTGACCACCTTGCTATTCTCTGTCCCTATCTCGTGTCTTCAGATTTGGGGCCGCGATGAACAGTGGTACTACGTGCCCTACAAGCCCGGTGCACTTGTCATTAACATCGGTGATACCTTGGAGATTGTTTCTGGTGGTCATTTCAAGGCTACTCGTCACCGTGTCTACAAGCCTCCCTCCGATCAATTGCAGCAGGAGCGCCTCTCGCTGGTTCTGTTCAACAGTTCTGTTGGTGATTTACGCATGGGTCCTGCAACAGGTTAGTACATTGAAATCAACACACCTGGGCTCATCAGAACAATTATGCTGATATATCCTTTTATAGCTTCTCCTCTTATTCAAAGGGTTGGCTGTGTTGAGGAGCAGGGCGTCTACAAGGAGTTCAAGAGCCTTACATCCCAAGGAAAGCTCGTGCCTACCAACCGGCAATGGCGCGAAATTCAGATCTCTACCGCCACTGATCCTACGGACCAAGAACGCAACAGAGTTGGTGCTGACCAGGTCCTTATTGATGGCAAGATTATGCATCAGCGAGAGTACATGGGCGTCAAGGTCGTCCTGCCTGTTTAAACTAGAATGCAAGCACTGATTGGAAGGGTTTGTTTTTTTTGATATTATTACCCCTGGTTTTTTTTTCGGATGATTTATGCCAACAGATTGTATGCAAGATCCATTCATGTAGCGTTTCAACTTTTATTTTATCTCGTTCATACATTATACAGTAGTATGAAAAGCGTAGCTGACTGCCCAGGTGTTTACTTACTCATGGACAGACGGTGGATCAGAGACATCAAGCAATAAACATCTCTAGCCATTATTTTTCTAATACATCTCGAAAGGAAATATAACCACAGTTTTCTCCCAAGCCTCCCCACAGCGACATGGTAATAGGACTGGTCATTGTGATGTGTCCTTGTCTTTGCAAGTAGTATTCCTGAGATGAAATTTTCAGCCTTAGGACCAAAGGACCGTGTAAGAACAAAATTCGTTCAAATTTTACGGTATAGGGGAAAGAGACTTGAAAACATTGTCACGGACCAAAGGTTTGCAAATGGGAAGATTTCATTGTCCCTAGTTCTAGAATCTATTTTAACCCTCCAGCTAGGAGGAGACTCTGACCCGTCATGTACCCAGTCTTCACTAGCATGGTAACAACGTTCGCCGTTTCTTCTGGAGTTCCTAACCGCTTTAGAGGAATACTCGCTGCCACTTCGGGGAATGCCGCGGCAGAGGAAAGCATGCCTGTATCACCGATCATAGCTGGGGCGACGTCGTTGACACTAATGTTGTACTCTGCCAGTCGAGTTGAAAGGTTCTTCATCATACCAGTAAGACCACCCTTTGAGGCTGCGTAGTCTAGAATGTGAAACTGAGTCAGTGATTACCTTGGAGAAAAAGCTGAGGCACCAAGAACAGTGAATTAACTCACGACAGCCGTTAATACCTCCACCTTGAGCGGCGATAGAGGACATAAAGATAATCCGGCCCCACCTCTGGGCCTTCATGTGCTCTACTACGCCCTTGACAAGGATGAAGGCAGCGCGAAGGTTGATGTTCATGGTGTAATCAAACTCCTCAAGTGTTATGTCCGACACATCAGGAATCCGCTTGCCATATCCGGCATTCGATACAAGAATGTCTGGTCGTTGGCCGTGCTTGAGATCAATTTGTTCAAACATTGCCTGGATTTGATCGCTAGACCCAACATCAACTTGATGGATTGAGATGCGAAGATTCTGAGTGGGATTCTTGGATTGGATATCTGCCACGATATTGTTCAAAGAGATCAAATTGGTCGAGTAGGTCAAGGCGAGATGAACCCCATGTTGTGCAAGTTGGTGTGCACAAGCTGCACCGATCCTAAAGTCGGAAAAATGACGTGACTCAACTTCATGTCTTTGTATAAACAGACTCGGTGTCTTGCTTACCCTCCTGAGGCACCGGTGATTACGGCCAATTTACCTCGAATGTCGTTAAATGCCATTGTTGTGAACAGCACGTTAGAAGTGCAAGTTTACTGATTCAGCAGAGAGATCAAAGACCCCCATATTACCCCATTAGCGTCAAATGTTCTCCGCCATTGAAAAATGTTCCTGATAAACAGACTGCAGGCCATATTGCCACGTATAATCCGGAGTAGGGAGTTGTTCCATGGAATAACCAAAGTGGGCAGAGTGGGTTCATGAAGGAGCTCCTCCCAACGTTTTGCAGCAACCCTAAAGATACCTAGGTAGTGATAAGATTATCTAACCTGGTTATCTGTCCAAAATATTGATTTTGCCGTTTACGCTGATTTTGCGATCGTTTTATTCTTTTTCACGAGGATAGTAGCGTGCATGGTCGTTGTAGTAAGGGGAATGCGGTAGTACGGCAATCTCCAACTGCCGGTGCGCGCCATAGCAGGTTGCCCCATAGTGTATTGATTCCACGATTTTCAACTATCAAGCTACTATACGGCTTAAGTAGAGAGGTACATTGCAATCTAAACATAAGTAATTAATCATTGAGAACCCAATCATCAAGAATTTGGTCTGTGTGCTTTTGTAGAGACCAGAAAGAACCTCAGGCATCCACTCCCTGGTGAATGCCTGAGGTCAACAAGTAGTGCAAACCCTGCAAACCCTTCGGGACACTGAAACTGGCAGGAAACCACGTGATGAATCACTCTTTTGCGCGAGAATTGCGACGCGGTCTTCGCCAATATAGCATCACCGACAATCGCCGCGTTTCAAATGGCTTTTATACTCTTATCGCAGACACTACGACGATTCCTATCAGTATGTTATAGTCTCAAGGACTGGATAGAGATTGCGTTCATTTCTCCTTTGTCACGCCTAATCCACTGGCCCACTTGTCACGATATTGAAGCGGTATAAGTCGAGCCCGTCCCTTTCTATCGCAAGAGTTTCCTGACCAACTTACGTAGGGACCTCAATACGGTTACGAAGCAAATGAAACTAGACACGGAAAGGTCGAAACCATTAGCAGAGATGCTCAAGGACAATTTATCTCTGGTGGGCTAACTGGGATTGTGGAACTCCTTGGTGATGGTACCGTCCTTAAATCGCCATTTCCTGACGCTGAAATAGAAAACCACATCCTGGAAATTGCCAAAGAGGCCAGTATCTATCATCGCGTTGGCCCACATGAAAGGCTGGTACGAATATTGGATCACTCTAGGGATGGCCTTATTCTTGAGTATATGAAAAACGGTGACCTCAAAACCTATCTTCAAGCCCAAAACTCGATTCCGATGAGCCTGAAGTTGAAGTGGGCATACCAAATCGCGCAAGCCGTCGCTCTCCTACATAGTAACGGCATAATCCACTGCGATATCAAACCGCGAAATTTCCTCTTAGACGCGACTCTCAATATCAAAATCATTGACTTCTCTGGCTCTTCGCTAGATGGGTCTAAACCGGCCTCTGGTGAGGGAACTCGATTCTATCTCCCACGACATTGGAGAGACCCACCTACCGTGGCTACAGATCTATTTGCGCTCGGGTCGACTCTTTACGAGGTTTTTCAAGGAACTAGTCCCTACGAGGAGATTCCTAGCGATCAAGTGGAAGAATGTTTCAAGAGAAAGGAGTTCCCTAATGTTTCTGCTATTCCATGCGGACAGATTATCAAGCAGTGTTGGTTATCCCAAGTCGATTCAGCCGAATATGTACAGGCTTTTATGCGAGATATAATTCGCAGTAAGCTTAACGCCGACTATATCCCTCATCTCGATGGTTTAGACATTGCTCGGGGTGTGTTGATTGACCAAGTGGGGTATCCTTAGGATCGGGATAGTCGATACCGGTTTGTTTTGCTTGGAGGCATCGATTGAAAGTTCTGGTCGTTGTGTCGCATGATATTGGACAGCCGCGATAATGCTTAGTGGACACAAGATATTCATATATCCTAGAAACTGTCAATTATTGGTGTTTTACTCCTTTTTGATAGGATACAAACTTTGATTGCACTATTTCGTCGCTAGATAGAAGGGCGATAAAGGATAACGCTGATATCTGCGTAGATATTAGGAACCACGGCTATTAAATAAGCCGTTATTTATACTAAAGCGTCTACTATCTAGATAGGCGTCTAAAAGCGGGGAATTACTGTCTAGTAAGACGCCAACCATATGCTAGCCAAATATTCCCTTAGGTTTTCCGCCGGGGGAAGGAGGGGGCGCTACATCACGTCACATACGTTCAAACGAGGAAGGGTAGCTACAGTCAGCACACACAAAAAGGAGACAACAAGGACCCTCATTGGAGGGCGAATATCGCCATGTTTCTACTGGATTTCCACTAGGTTTCCCATAAAAGCCTCTAGTCTAATATTGTCACAGAGTATATATATATACATTCGATGTCACATTAAGATACTTGGTAGCAGCTTAGCGCGTAAAATACGGATATCGGAACCATTATTATAATTCTTAATCGGAGAAATAGGTGGATTTTTATAGCCAGTCAGGTATTTTAGCTAGAATACAAGATATTTCTAGAAAGAGGAGAATTTATGCGTATTTACGACTGCGATCTAGCTGATAGCAACTCAGATGGAACAAAAAATCTTTTAAATACGGGAGAGTCGAATCCGAAGCAGGGGATCGCATTAGAAACACATTTTTGTGATCAGCTAGCGCCTGGGTGCGTATAACGAACCTATATCTTGTGATTAAATAATAACTTCCCTCAAGACCGAAAATCCGAGTAGGTGATTGCTTGGTTGCTAGGTTTAGATATGAGATCGTTGATGAGGCATTTTTACCATTGGATACTTGGGACAGGGCGAAGCATCTACAGTCACCAGGGAACCAAGCCACGATGGAACGGAGCAGCGAAGACAACGAGCTGCTAGGCAGATCATAGCCAGGCAGCCCCGGAGCACGGACGAGACACTAAGACAAGGCATTGGGGAGGTGGTAAATCATCGAATCGAGAACGAGGGAGGATGACCGAGGGGAGCAGGCAGTGAATCCCATTTGAAGAACAAGTAGGCTATATAGGCTGAGTAAGCGCTCTGTGAACGAATGATCTGTACCGTATTGCTCTTCCAAAAGCCGTGCAACCTTCTTACAACACTGTCTACGCCAAGAGGCCGAATGACTCCGATCCCAAGAGTGGAATGTAAAGGCAATAAGGGCTCAGCCGCAGTTTGCGACCGAAAAGTACAAGGGGGAGAATGGGGCAGTCGGCCTATTGGGCGAGCGAGATTGTAGGGGCGCAGGCGGGGTGGGAGTCATCGAGACAGGACTTGGGTAGCGGCAAATATCGAGAGAATCTCGCAAAAGCTGGGCTTTGTCCTGGAAAGAATTCCATGGCCAAAAGGATTCCAGGCGAGAACTGGCGTTTGACATATTGTGTGGAAGAGACGGCTGAGAAAATATTCGAGATGTGGTGGTTGTGGGTACTTATAAAACAGGAAACTGGTAGAGAATAGAGAGTTGGGGATTTGGGGGGAGAGGAGAATTTGAAGGGGTTTTGAAATATAGTCTTGCTATTTGAGTGGACTATTGTGATTCAGAAAGGATCGCATGAGTTTTATTCCTAGGATCTATTGACTATATATAGACCTATACGGGTCCGTAGATAGACTACTATGGTAGATAGTAGTCATGTAAGGGCCTATATAGGTGCCTATAGTCCCTAAAGATATGTGTCTTATATTTAAAATAAGCTTTCGGATCTTATCCTCCCCCACTAGACTAGAACTACATACAGTAAACCTTTCTTTCTTCCTTTTCCTTCTCTCTCTGTACTTAGTATTCTCGTTGAAATGCACTCTTTTGTTTAAAGAACTGGCTGGTAACATACACTAATAGACTCTCAAAATTACTTACTCGCTAGAAGTATAAAGCCTTTATTTAAATACTTTATATAGTGGATATAGGCGATTTAATAGTATAAAGAAGTAGAGATCAGTATACTAAGGTATATAGGGGTTCTAGTAATCCTATACTAGTATCGCTAAGGGGGTATATCGGAGTATATAGACTAGTATACCGGAGATTTTGTTTATCTAGTTTGTTTAGTAACTTTGAATTAGTAATCCACCGCCTATATAAATTGCTAGGAAAGCGGATACTATGATACAGAGATTTTAATACCATTGATTGGACCCATACATTTCAGGATACCATTGTATTTGACAACCTCACTATTTCAAGGCACGTGACGCTGTATTTCTTTTGTGTAACCAACGTCACCAACGATTTCAAGTTTTGCATTGCCCAACATAAATTCCATCGACCTGTCACTTCAGTGTCACTAAGTGCCCTGGTCTGTGAATAGTATTGATTCCCTACATAACGAGTCGGTCATTCCTGGCGCATCTCGGAGTACTCAGGGATTACGGTGGCGCCCCCATGTCCCACATGGCCGATCCCCGCTCTAGCTCTTACAGGGATCTGGCCAAGAACTACGAGAGGCAACTGGATACCCAAATAGAACAGGGCATCTTTAAGCCAGTTTTCATATATCATGTTGTCATCCTCAACATCTTACCTTTGATAGGTCTGGTCATTCCCCGCAGCAGGGGTGGTCAATATGTCCGAAAGGGCATTTTCGTTCTCTGTATTGCAATTGCAATTGAAATTCTACAACACCGACGGGCTATCATCGGAGGAAATGGCTATATGCTTGGCTTGATGACCGCTTGGTGGTTAGTATGGAATGCCACCTTGTTTGTGTTTACAGACCTTGAAAATGATTTCAAGCGCATTGAACGGAGACCTGTTGATATCAAATCTCAAAATGACCCCAAGATTGAACCTTGTACTGCCAAAAAATCGCCTGGCTCGAACAATCCAACATGCCTACAAGGGGACGGTAATCTGTTTGTCTGGCGTTCATATCCCGAAAGGTTTTGGCATCGACTTGAATGGTCCGCCGGACTACTCTTCAATTTGAGAGGACCAGAATGGAACTGGCGAGCTTCCCATCTAGGTCCCCTTCCACAACCAGTTCATAAGCAACTGGATTCGGGATTCGTGAGCAGTATCAAAGCACATGAACCCTCCACCTATCCTAGCGGCAAACACCGGCTGCAGGCTGCTTTTCGGAAGTTCTTTATATCTTACCTTGTACTGGACACCCTGAAAGTCATTATCCTGATGCCAGATCCCTACTTCCAAGGCCTCGCTCCAGCCGATTCGCCAACGCCGTTTCCATTCTTCTACTTCACAAATCTTACATTGTATCCTGTGATGGCCCAGCTCTGTCATCGTTTATACAGCGCCATAAGTGTATATTTTGCTCTCGAGTTCGTGACATCACTCAATCCAATCTTCTTCCTGGGACTATCTCTCGCATTCCCCAACGGGGCTAAGAACTTGACCGCCGCACCATTAGGGGCCCCATGGTTGTATTCCGAGGCATTCGGGCCATTCTTCAGCCCAGTCCTTGATGAAGGATTGGCGGGTTGCTGGGGTCGTTGGTGGCACCAAATCTTTCGGTATGGATTTGTAGCTTCGGCACGCTGGATTCTATCTGTGCTTCCAGCCGGATTAGCCTCCCATATGCAAGTCCGTCGTGGCATTTACGTGATGGTGGCTTTCTGTCTTAGCGGCTTTGTACATGCCTGCGGAAGCCATACCCAGATTGCAGATACGTCCCCGATATTCGGGCCTTTCCTATTTTTCGCTTTGCAGGGTGTTGCAATCATGGCAGAGCAGTTTTTCAAGACGTCAATCCTCCCGAAATCCCCCTTTGCTGGTGCGCCGAGGTGGCTGAGAAGAACAGCAAACTTTGTATTTGTATTTTGTTGGTTGATGACCTCGGGTGGCCTCATCGCGGATGACTTTGCCAAGGGTGGCTTATGGTTGATGGAACCTCTCCCGATTAGTCCACTTCGTGCATTGGGATTTGGACTACAGGGTCAAGGCTGGTGGTGTTGGAATGACCCTTGGTTCCGATATTGGAGTGATGGTACATACTGGGGGAGTGGCATACGGGTGTTATAGAAGTGGTAGATATAGAATTTCAGATTACTTTCGAAACCCTTCCAGTCATTGATTGCAAGTCCACGAGATAAATTACATGATTGGACGTATATAAAACGTATATAAAACGTATATTTACATCGTCTACCCTTCCATTGTGACATCGTCATCCTCTTCATCGGTGTCAGATTCCATGTTCAAAGTGGGCAATTCATCACCGCTATCATCATCAGCCTCTTCTATAGGCTGTGGGGTTACGGCTGTAGATGCGGTGGGCACCTGGGTGGAAACTTTGGGGGCCTCAGCATTGGTGATCGTAGGAGCTGGCTGAGAGAAAGGCTGCTGGCTCGAGGTGCTGATGATCTCGTCGAACCGCGCCTTCTTGATTTGAACCTCTTGCTTCTGCGGCGTTGGCTCCTCGGTTGTAGATTCCTCAGTGTAGGTCCGCTTGTGGAAAGTAGGCACAGGAGTTGTAGTCTTCGAATGGTCTGACTTCGGTACTTGCAGGGGCGCCGAGACAGGTTGCTTCAAAAATTCGGTAGTCTTTGGGGCGGCGTTGTATCCATCATCGGCCATGTCCTCATCTTCTGCTTCTTGGTCTTCATCGACATAGGCGTCAAGCTCGGGCGCGGTCATCAAGACTGGCATCCTGGGACGGACCAGAGCCTCCACCTCCATCTGATCAGCATAAGGCCTAGTCAAGAATGGAATGATACTCGAGCCTGCGCCGCGGCCCTTGACTGCCGGGACAGGGTTGAGTACGCTAGCGAACATCGCATCCTTGTCGGATGTCAAAATGATTGAGCGGTCCATTTCAGCCCTGATGGAGGGCGGAACAAGCTCAGCAGGGATAGAAACGAATACGGCCTGCAAAAGCCCGGATGCATTTTGCCGAACTTCCAAGAAGGGGGAAGCCGATTGTGCCTGGCGGGATTTCTGCAGATCAGGGTTGAAAAAGGCATCCGCATTGGCTGTCCCCTGTCCGCCTTTTGACTTCGTTTTATTAGAGTCAGAGCCGGCATTCACCGTGGAGCTGGGACCCTCGGTCGGTGGTAACAAATCATCGCAGCAAGAGCGTAGGACGTTGGTCAAAGACACCACGCTCTCTCTCGTCATAGCAGGTCCGTTCACCGGCACTAGAGAACGAAGCAAAGCATAGACTTCCGAGCGCAGGTCTCTGTTGAACTTTTCGCCCTTGAAAGTCCAGACAGCCTGCTCGAGAATGGTCTGCGTTACAGATGTTGCGCTGGTGCCCAGGATACCGACAACGTTGGAAAGCAAGCCCATGCATGCAATGTGAATCCGAGGCAGCTCCATCCAAAGTGCCTCTCGCTCGTCACGGCTGATTTCTTGATTGAACTGAATGCCAGATTGAGACGAAACGGTACCGTTGGGAGGAACAGTAACCGAAGTAAGTCGGGAGGTTAAGTCAAGGATAGAGCCTATCGGAAGGGCCACTGCAGCTGCGGATGGCATCGAGATGAAATCAGAGAGAATCTGCAGAAGTGCGACGAGCCTATCCACACCCGAGTGGAGTCCACTCCAGCCTGGAAGTCCCAAACCATCCGGGCCACCGTCACCCATTTCTTGGCTATAGTTTGGTCGTGTGTGCACCAGAGTCGCATCGACAGACTCCCACTGCTCTACAACGGCTCGGAAAACGTGGTCTGTTGTTCTGTGGATGGACAAAATTGTCGACTTGCAGTCATCCTTCCATCCAGAGCCCGCCTGATCCTTGGGTGCGCACTTGTGGAGAGAGACAAGCAGCTGCTCAGCGGCGTCGATCACATGCTCCGGGAAATACGCAGGCGAAGAAGAGCCAACTACTTCAACGAGGAGAGTTCGGAGCTGTGCGCCAAACGGACGGAAGAGAGTGATGTGCCTTGGGATCAATTCCAGTAAGGCGTGTAGGACAACTTCCATGAATGGGGTGTTGGGCTTCGGCTTTCGGACTGAGCCCGAGGGAGTCTTCGTGATGGTAGAGACCAAGTTCAAGGCGGCAGTAATGAACCCAGGAAGCTGCGGGGTTGTGATCTCACGGACAAGTGTTGGGTACTGGTATGTGAGGTGGAAGATACGAGTTAGTGTGATGATACACATCTTCCGCGTGGAGATTGGATCCGGTTTCTAGAAACGTATAAGCCATGGAGCCAGCATAGAACGACACTGGGTTTGAATTGGATCATACTGCGAGAATGCTGATCAAGCTGCGAACAATAGGCTCGTAGCCGCGCAGGATTTCCCATTGACCAGCTTCGACTGTAGCTTTCACCAAAATAACGGCGGTCCATCTTCCTTCAACACTGCGATCCTGCAACAGACTGGCCAGTCTAGTCTTCAGTTTATGGACCTGGACAGCATTATCTGACTCCGATTTGCCAGACTTCTGAGTTTGTGGGGTTGAGAGCAGCTCAGCGCAATCGTTCAATGAAGTCGCAAGGAACGAAGCTATCGGGGGTAATTGCTCGACCGGGGTAGTTGTCAGGCGATGCGTGATTGCGCGCAAAGTAGTGGAGGACATGGCTACTGATGCAGACCTAAACAGCAGGTCTTAACTCAAGAAAATAAGCCAATCGATAAAAAATTGAGAGTCGACGAAAGGTGAAAGTCTTATCGATAACTTTTTTTTCCATCAAAAAGCTTGGACCAACATCAACTGTCGTTAAATTACCGTCACGTACGTAATCGCTCTCCACCCCTGGACGATCATCGGGCTTCAGACTGATGAAGTTGGCGAAGCTTGATTGCTCTTCTCCCTTTCTAGATCATTCACAACTCTCCTGAATCATGGCTGTAAGTGTTTCCCTTCTGTCTCCTTCAAAATGTGCTGGTTCATATTTCTTCTAAATCGTTGATACCACCCAGTATTTATGTTGACACGTGCGAACCAGGGAGGCAATGCCGAGAAAGGGCAGGGCTACATCGTGGCCTTGGACCAGGCACGGAGCCAGGGCAAATGGGATGAACTCCCAGAGTTGATTCGAAAAGTGACCAAACATGCACCGCAGAAGACTTGTACGCTACCGGCCCCTAGCCTCTTGATCTCAGCCTAACCGAGCCGTCTCTAGGCCTGATACAGACCGCAACTGCGGAATCGCGTGTGGTTGCATATCTTCAACAAAAGTCTTCCAGCGACTCATCTTCTTCATCCCCGAGTCTCGCCGAGCTGATTCCGGCCCTATTAATCACAATTGGAAGCAATGACGGATCACCACAAGAATTATTGCAAGCGCAAGTCTGTCTGGGGTGGATCCATTGGGCTTTGAAAGAACCTGGACTCTCGGCAGCGCGTCTCCCTAAGGATTTTACGGCAACTCTTGATAACTTGGCCAGTGGGGGGAGGTAGCTACTTCGTGGACCGAGGTCTGTTTAGTAAAGGGATGCTACATCAAGGGTATGTTTACTTTGTTTACTTCCGGATGTAGTCAGTGCTGTATCTGACAGAAAGCCAGCGGCCGCACAATCTACTGCTGCAGACATCGATGACGCATTGGAGACATTTTCGTCCCTAATCCCGTGGCTAAGCGGCGGTAAATTAACCTCAGTCACCACTCCGCAATTCCTGAACTGGTCCGAGTCACTTCTAGGCAATGGTGCCCTTTTGGCCAGTGGCGAAGTGACAAAAAATGCACCCTATTCGGATCCCAGACATGCAGATATTGCCTTGCGATTATTCAGGTTGTGGGCGGCTCATCCTGCCGTGAAACAGGGGGTCTCTAACAACAACTTATCGACTGCAGATTCTTTTGGCCGAGCTCCCCGAGCATCGGTATGGGCTGCTTATTACAAGCTTCTCACTGCGGTCCTGCAGGACGGAGTTACATACACCGGACCCAATGATGGACCGGACCGCCCACAACTTGGTAGTGAATTGCGCCGCGTAGAGACTGTCTACGAACGCAATCTTCTTTCTGAAGTCATGTTCCCTACGGCCAGCTCGCAGAACTCGCAAGTCGAGGAGTGGGTCGAGCAGGTGATCAGTAACTGGGAGGTCTTGTGCGGACCCGAGTGGCAGGATTCGGACCTTGGCGAAGGAGGCCAGAATGCAGTCAGTCGTAATGTATTAGAGGTGAGTCTAACATCATATTCTATGAAATCACATGTACTAACATTCCTTGTTTTAGATTCTGTACCGGGCAGCGACAAAGACCTACCACTCTCCTTTGGTACTTCGACGTCTCTTCCACGTTCATTCTGCTTTGGCAGATTTCGACCTCGCCGTGAAGGCGCTCGATTCGTATATTGAAATCGTCACTGAAGCTAAAGAAAGGGCAGAGAAGTCTGCTGCATACGGTGAGCTGGAAAAAGATGAAGTATTACTGCAGACGCTCTCTGAAGGAGTCACATTATTGAGCTGTCTTGGCTCGTTGGAAGAGGCAGAGAAAGCCCGAGATCTGACTGAAATTATGAGGGAGTATATCGACAAGCACAATACGCCTACCACAGATGGTCAGGTCAATGGCAATCCCACGAACTTGCCGAACATCATTCCCTCGGTGCTGGCATCATCCTACCGAGCCATCGGTGTTGGACTTGCTTGCTGGGCAAGCTGGACTCCTGTGACTGAATCACGCGATGAAATCAGAGCCGATGCGATCGAACACCTCGAAAAGAGTCTTGCTCCAGAATTGGGAAGTAGCTCAAGCTATTCTTCACTTTACACCCTAGGCCTTGTATTGGCCGAAAACAGAGATTTGGACACTGCAATTGAGTATGTCAAGTCAGCTCTGACACCAAGCAGTTCATCTAATGCAGTATCTGATGACCTTTCCAAAGAACGTGACTTGGTATCTCTGTGGCATCTGCTTGCACTGCTGCTAAGTGCAAAGCAGGAGTTCGAGATTGCTGGGCGTTCATGTGAGGCTGCATTTGAGCAGTTTCCTCGAGATTTATTCTCGAGAGGTCATCGCGAACGACATTTATCAAGGAATGCGCAAACCCCCAACCAGCGTTCGATTGTCAGCAGATTGCAAGGCAGAGAAAAAGAACGCATCGTCCAAACACGCATCACGCAGCTTGCCTTCATCGAGCTCCTGGAAGGGCCCGAAGCTGCTGTCAACCACAGCACACAACTATTGAGTCTTTTTGGCGCTCTTTTCCAAGACCTGAACCTCGAGGCTGGGGGCACTAAATCCGATTCAGATCATCTAGTACCGCCAAAGAGCTCTGCTGGAACCACCAAAAGCTTCCGTGGAAGCATTTTCGGCCGAAACAGAACTTCCCAGTTACCAGATCGCCGTGCTGATCAGAGCAATGGTTCTGATACCGCCATCCCACCCACCCCAGCTATCCCCAATGGTCACATGACGGAGCAGCCGTCAATTCAGGTCACGGATGAAGACCTTCAAACCCGCCAGGGAAGACCGCCAACGATTGGGAGGGCAGACTCCAAGAAATTGAAAAAGCGAAGTTCAAGCTCTCATGGAAACGAGAGGCCGCGTGACGAAGAGCCACCGCTTCCTAATGGAGGTGAGCAATCCGCAGAAATGGTCGGCATTGCGTTTTCTGGCAGCACATCATCAGGGTCCGCAATCCATCCTACCAAAGGCAAACAACCACTGCCGAAGATGGCACACAACATGGACTACAAGCAACAAGCTCCCCCGCCGGGCATGAGGAACAACCCCCTAAACAAGACATCCGACTCCCAATTGGCTACCGTTTCGATTCTCCCACAAGTGCCGTCACGAAGTTTTCTCTAATTCAATCCCAGAAGCACGCCTTGGGTCTTCTCGTCAAAATATGGCTTGTTATCGCTGGTCTTTATCGTCGGGCCTCTCTTTTCGATGATGCCCGTGAAGCTTGCGAAGAAGCTTCGAAACAAGCTGCGCGAATAGAAGCACTCGTGGCATCACACGAATCCTCAGCTCGATCTTTTAGCAAGCGCGGCTGGGGTGCTTCCAAAAGCTCTGAGGAGCTCTGGGCTGATATCTACGCGGAACAGGGTCTCTTGTCTCAGGCTCGATCTAACCCCCATCAAGCCATCAGACATTTTGAGGAAGCGCTGCTGCACTTCCAGGACCACCCAGCAGCGACAATTGGGCTTGCCAACCTTCTCCTGGACATTTGGGATCAGAAATTAGACCCAGAGCCATCGAACACCGACGTTGATCTTGACGCCTCACGTCTATCATTGCTGTCGGAGACACCCAAGCCCAAATCTGCGAAGGCCATCTCAACCGATGATCTCAAGATATCAAGCGACACCGGGAATGTGCGTCACGAAGAGCCTCATCTATCTGCACAAGATGTTGAACCTAAGCAACTTCACCGTCTCGCAGCCCGCGATCGCGCCTATGGGCTTCTTTCGGCTTTGACAAAGCTTGGAAGCTCTTGGGACAACTCTGAGGCATGGTATGCGTTGTCGAGAGCTTATGAAGCTGGTGAGCAGGTCGAGAAGCTGAAAGAAGTGCTTTGGTGGTGCATTGAACTGGAGGATCGACGCCCAATTCGGCATTGGTCCAATATCGGTTCCGGTGTCTATGTCCTCTAATGACGGCAACAGAATCGTATATCTTTCTGTATCTACCGCATTTTCCTCCTCTAGCAACGGATTTCCCTTTTTTTTGACGAAACACCTTGTTTATACCATAAGGGTCATCATTACTACAGTTCTCATTGAAGTGCAATTTTGAAAGCGGACTTTCTTCGTAAAAAAATAAGAACTACTGGCAAAACGTCTTTATATACATTTCCTAAATCAACAAACAAGTTGTTAATGGTTGAAAAGGAAGAACCGGATCAGTTGAACAACAAAACAAGTGGATTGATTCTGCTACTGCAAATAAATCTACCGCGGAGCAGCGGTGGGAGTCCAGGCAGCAATCTTGGGCCGGGTGCTAGAGTGACGTTAGCCGATGCACAAGAAAGACCAAAAAACTGCACACAGAAAGATTGCACCTACGTGGAATAAGTCTTGAATGCAGCGCGGCTGAGAGTCGGGTTGGGACGGGGGTTGGACAGCTCCCAGGGACGGAAACCGGACTGCATGATCTTGTCGGCGTGCGGGGGCGCGTCAACGAGGTAGGAAATCCATGCGTGCCTTAACAAGGTTAGTTCCACATCATCGCAGGTGAACTGCTGACCTAGTGTCTCGAGAGAAGCGCTTACCAGCCAGGCTCAATCTGGGATGCGTCGTATTCGGCCTCCTTGTAGTCGATCCATCGTGTTCGGACTAAACGGGGAAGCACAATCAGAACTTCATTCTTCAATGCGATATATGAGCTGAAGCGTATTCTTACGAGGCAATTCCTCCACGTTCTCGAAGTATTTGTTTCCGAAGCGGTCGGTTCCGATCAGAGTTCCAGCCTTGGTATCACCTGTAAGAGCACATGGTTAATCAACTGCTAGACAGACGCCGATAGAGTGGCAACGCACCAATGTTCTATATCACAGCGAGCAGGGACATAAGTTAGTCTCGAGCTCATTCAATTGACCTGCTGTTCCGGGGGAGGCGTCCGTAACCGACCTGCATCTGGTGGGCGGCATCCTGTACAAATGTGTTAGCTACCGAGGTTCCATAGAGAAGAGATCGCAATTATACAAACCTTGAATCCGACTCGGCGAAGGTTGCGCAGCGTCCTCACAATAGTCGACATCTTTGCTGGTATATTGTGCTAGAGCGAATGGGATGCGAGAGATTGGCGATTTGAGGTTGCAGGAGGGCGGTGCGTTTGCACTGTTTGCACACTACCCTACCATGGATATCCCGATTCAGAAAACCCTCGACCTTGGATATTCAGACATGTTCGGTCGCATTGCAGGGCAAACGCTTCGTTGCGCTGGGCGTCGCCCAGCTGCACGTCGGAGACTATGTACTCGCCAATTCTCTGCGCATACCGGTGCAGAAGGTGCGACTACAGCACCCGCTCCTTCACCTCTAGCAGGAATCACCGCGGAGCTAGATCGCATTGCTCCCCGATTCGAGGTGCCTGCGTCTCAAATCCACATAATAGACTCTCCGGCCAATTTCTACACTACATTGAAGGTACGTTTTATCTGTTTGTATGTTCGAAAACACTCGGGACTAATCTCAGTTCCGCAGAATAAAATCCGCAATGCCCGGCGGCGCATTTACCTCTCCACATTATACATCGGCAAGACAGAACACGATCTCATCGACACCTTAAGCCAGGCTCTCCGCGGTAACCCGGACCTCAAAGTTTCTATTCTTACAGATGCTCTGCGCGGCACACGGGAGACTCCGAATCCTTCATGCGCATCATTGCTTTGTTCGCTGGTCGAAGAGTACGGACCTGAACGAGTCGAGATTCGGATGTTCCATACTCCTAACTTGACGGGTCTAAAAAAGAAGTGGATCCCTGCTCGTGTCAACGAGGGCTGGGGCTTGCAGCACATGAAGCTGTACGGGATAGACGATGAGATCATTCTATCGGGGTATGTTATTCGCGAACTGGTACAAAGGCGGGATATTAATATACTCACAGAGCAAATCTATCTGAGGAATACTTCACCAGCCGCCTAGATCGATACCACGTGTTCGATTCCAAAGTGCTGACCGAATATTACGCTAAAATCCATCATGCAGTCTGCAGTCTGAGCTTCCAGGTGCTGCCGGATCCTCAAAATAAATCCAGCTATATTTTGGACTGGCCTGCCGCAAACAAAGCTCCTTCTCCTCTTGACGATCCCCAAGAATTCATTGCATACTCTTCCAAGTTCTTGAGTCCTCTCATCCAGGCCTCCGACAACAAACCTGCACTTCCCTCCTCGTCGAGTCAAACTTATGTATACCCTGTATCCCAGTTTACTTCTCTACTGCAACCTGATGACACATCTACCGAATACCCTGCCGTGACGACCATTCTCCATCTCATGTCAAGCTCAAAACTCTTTGTTGGTGCCCGCTGGCTCTTCACAGCAGGTTACTTCAACATGCACCCTGTCCTTTCTTCTCTCCTAATTTCCAGTACGACCACAGCCTCGAGGACTCCCACAACCACGAAAGGCACCGTTCTGACGGCGTCGCCGTGGGCAAATGGATTCTTTGGCTCTTCTGGAGTCTCAGGAATGCTACCAGCCGCATACACACATCTCGCGGCCCGCTTCCTTGACCGCGTCGCCGATGCACACGCCACGGACTCCATTCAACTGAAGGAGTGGCGCAAGGGCACTGTTGGTACACCAGGCGGATGGACCTACCATGCCAAAGGTCTGTGGGTCACACTGCCACGCGAGGAACACCCCAGCCTCACCTTCGTCGGTAGCAGCAACTACACAAAGCGCAGCTACAGCTTAGACCTCGAGTCCGGCGCTGTGGTCGTGACGAATGATCCTGAACTCAAACAGAAGTTGGGTGAAGAGACTGAGCGGCTTCAGAAAAATGCTAGCCCCGTCTCGAGAGATGACCTCATGCGAACGGAAAGGCGAGTCGGATGGAATGTGAGACTTTCCATGTGGATTGTAGAGAAGGTTGGCGGCGCCTTCTAATTCGCTCGGTTTTTTGTATAAATATTTCTTGAAAATAATAGCGAATTTGTAATATATTGGAATACAGAGTGATGTGGTCGAAGCTATCACACCATCGAAGAACATCTCCATCTGACTCATACGCTATGGATCCATCACCACTAACTCGATGACACCAGAATCATACCAGAATACTCACGCCTTAAAATACCATTATGTCTATTCGAGGAATTTTCGCCTCCAAATCCTGGTTCGGCTTTGATCTAGATGACACCCTCCACGAATTCCGACGAGCCTCGGCCGCCGCTTCAACCCATGTCTTTGACACGATTCACACCTCAAGCAACAAGACGAGCGTAGATCCACTCAGAAGTACATATCAAGATATACTGCGCAGTGCAACCGCAAATGCCTTCACGGATGGCAGGACCTCAAGCGAGTACCGGCGCGAACGGTTCGGGCATCTCCTCCAGGCGCACGGGCTCATTGATGACTCTCTGCTGGATCGTCTGTTAGAGGTATATCAAGACTCTCTACGCGAGAACTTGACTCTGAAGGCGGGTGCATTGCACCTTTTGCAGACTTTGCGAAGGCTGGGAAAGAAGGTGATTGTTATTACCGAAGGCCCGGCGGATGCGCAGGAGTGGACGGTCCAGGAACTCGGGATACGGTCTTACATTGATATCCTTGTGACGACGAACGAGGTCGGCAAGTCGAAGGTCGATGGGCTGTTTGGTGTTGTGCTGGAGAGATACGGTATCGCGGCTGAAGATATTGTATACTTTGGTGATAACAGGATTCGCGATGTTGAGGCTGCACGGGAGGAAGGAATACTGGCTGTTCTATATGACGAGAAACAGCTGTCTCACTTGCATGATACCATTGCATTACGAGTGAATTCGTGGGTTGATGTAGAAAAGGTACTCGTCCATGGAGAGTAAGCATCGAGACATAAACATAACTTTTGGTCTAGCCATCAAGAGATATCAACCCTAACGCACAGGAATGCCGCAATAAATAAGTATAAAAAGCCAAACGCCATATCATGACTGGGGTTTCCCATTGGGTGTCGTCTCATATGCAGTGCAAATCTTCATCTAAGCTGTTCCAGAGACTTTGCCCTTTGCGCCTCGAATTCGGGCTGGGCCGAGACCGGATCGCACCTCGTCGAGCATTCTGATGCCAATGGCCTCGTTACCGTTCTTGCCACGCTTGTGCTTGGCACCGTGACGCTTCGCCTGTCCACTGGTGTTGGGATCCCAGCTGGAGAGGAAGTCATCCATGACATTGTTGAAGGTGCTGTGGCTGTGCACGGCTTCGCCATTGCCATCGACCAGACTGGGGGCCACGGATGATGCGGTGGACATGCCCGTCATTCCGGTTGCACCTGTCATTCCACTGATCATAGACATGCTGTCATCGTATTCATCTTCCTCGTCAAGAGCGTAGAGCTGCTCAACCTTGTCAAAACGGTCATCGAGGAGACGGTGACCGGCAGTACGAGCCAGAGCGGACGAGGTCATTGAGTACGCAGATGGGTTAGTTAGGGCACCCTTGCGCTTCTTCCGGCGAATTGGCGTTCCGCCAATAGTAAAGGCGGTTGATGCCATTGTCTGCGATGCTGCGATTGTGGGTGCAGCCGGGGCAGGGGCATTTCCAGCCTTAGCATCCTTTTTGAACTTGGCAAACTCGCTCATCCAACTCTGGTCAGTGGGCTGCATATCGGGAGCCGGCTGATCATGATCGGGCATTTCGCCGACGTCCATTGGTGGCTTCACCGGCTCTTCCGGCAGCTCATCATCCACTGAGCGATCAGCCTTGGTATCGGCCTTGGTGCTGTCCGGTTGCACAGGCGCTTTCTCCGTAGCATCCGATTCCCATCCCTCATCTTCATCATCGTGGTCGAACAGAGAATCCTCCCAGTCGCCCTCGTCGATTTCCTCCGCATTGGCTGTTAGTTCACCGAAAATTCCGTCAGCGTCGCCATCCTCCACATAGGCTTCGTCCTCCAGCGCCTCCAGCGCCTCTCGCAGCCGCGGGTCCATGTCAGGCTTGAATCCGGCAATTGCGTCAGGGACATTCTGCTGATCCTGGTAGGTTGGCTTGCGGACAAAGGACGAAGTTGTTGAGCGCATATCACCATATTGTGAGCCATAAAGACTGGGACCGGTGGAGGGGCTCTGGTGGTAGGTATCTTTGTCCACGAGCGAGACCTGTCGCAGCGCGTCTTCCAGCTTCATCCCTCGACCAGCCCTGCCCTTGGCCTTTTCATTCTTGGCTTCGACAAAGTACGCATCTCCGGTGCCGCTTCCCAGCTCGCGCAGATGCTGCATGTAATCATAGTTGGAGTCGTCATAGTAGACGCCGTAGTTGGCGGCCTCGCCCTCATTCTTGCGAGCACTATCGCCGTATTCGGATTGGAGATCGGACAAATTTGGCAATTTCTTCTTCGAGGAGCTGGAAGAAGACGATGCGGGCGCGGGCGCGGGGCCTCCGATCTGGTACAGGAAACGGTCATCCGCACTGGTATCGTGGATCAACGGATCATTTTGAGAGCGGTGAAAGAGCTGGAACTTGCTCGCGTTCTTCTTATCACTATGGAAAGGTCAGTTTTTGCGCCATAAACATCCTTGCGCTATACGTACATCCACTGTTTGGGCGGCATCTTTGGTTTGGTCAACTTTTTGATATCGCAGAAAAAAAAGGGAAAAAGTGGGATTGATAGGGTCACGTGTGGCTTATCGCCCCTCGTTCTCCGGGGTCCTCAGAATCTCGAATTGTATATGTTCAATGGGAGGATTTCTCTGGAATTTCCACTATATTTCGTTTAATTTTGATTTCACTCATTGTGCAACTTCGCTTGGAGACTTGGGTATTCATTGGGCTCGGCACTTTTAGGAGGCCCGCATCAATAGTACTATTTCCATAGACTGGACCATAAACCCTAGTCACAGGCGATATTGCTATATGTAAATGGCTTTTAATATTGTAGGTTCCAACCGTTTAAGCCCGTTTAATACAAAATACAATAAAAACTTACAATATGTACAAAAGACATGGCCATATACTTGCCCAGAAGGCTCTGGATATAGAGGGGGCTGAGTCAGCGTTATCTTATCCGTCTGAATAATCCAAAATTCCCTTTTCAGGTGGGGGGTTGTGCTCGACTTGATTTTTTTTACTTTCCATTTTTCCTCAATTTTATCTTAAGCATCGCCATCATGGTTTTGCCTAAATCCAAGAAATCCATGGGACTGGGTGCCAGTCTCATGAACGATCGGTTCGGGAAGGGCAAGGCATCGTCTATGAAGAAGGTCTCTCACAATAATGCCATCCAGCGTACAGGTGCCAATGGCGAAACCTACGTCACCAACGAGGCTAAGGAGGCCTCATGGGTCAAGATGCGCAGTATCACTGAGCAGGCAGCGCTCGATGAATTCTTGAGTACCGCCGAACTGGCCGGAACTGACTTTACCGCTGAAAAAATCAACAACGTCAAGATCATCCACTCCGATCAGAAGAACCCCTTCCTTCTCACCCCCACCGAAGAGAGGAAGGCTTATATCAAGCACCAAAAAAACAAGTCTCGCCTGACTGTTCCCCGACGACCCAAGTGGGACCAGTCCACCACTCGAAATGAACTGGAAACGATGGAGAAACAAAGTCTGTTGGAATGGCGACGAGGACTGGCCGAGCTGACCGAGAACCACGATCTGTTAATGACCCCATTCGAGCGCAATTTGGAGGTCTGGCGTCAATTGTGGCGTGTCATCGAGCGATCCGATCTTATCGTGCAGATTGTCGATGCGCGAAACCCGTTGCAGTTCCGTTCGGAGGATTTGGAGAGTTACGTCAAGGAGATTGATCCTCGAAAGCAGAACTTGCTTTTGGTCAACAAGGCGGATATGTTGAGTCTGAAGCAGAGAGAAGCTTGGGCTCAATACTTTGAGAAGAACAACATCAACTTCCGTTTCTTCTCGGCTCACCTCGCCAAAGAGAAGAACGAAGCCCTCGCCGCGCTGGAGGAAGAATATGACTCTGATGCCGAACTTGCCAAGTCAGCGCAAAAGATCAACATGGAAATCCATGCCACTGAAGACGATGGATACAAGAAGGAGGAGACAGCGGAGGAAGAAAGAGCTAAGCTTGCCGATCCCGAACGCTCACTTGGGCCACACATTCTGGACACCGAAGAATTGGAAGAACTTTTCCTGGCCAACTCCCCAGAAACACTGCCCCAAGATGACGAGACTGGTGAGACCAAGCGTAAGACCACGATCGGTCTGGTCGGTTACCCCAACGTGGGTAAGTCCAGTACCATCAACGCCCTTCTAGGTGCGAAGAAGGTTTCTGTCTCTGCCACACCCGGTAAGACCAAGCATTTCCAGACTCTCTACCTCTCCCCCGAGATTATGCTGTGCGATTGCCCCGGTCTCGTGTTCCCCAACTTCGCTACCACCAAGGCCGAGTTGGTCGTCAATGGTGTGTTGCCTATCGATCAGCAGCGCGAGTTCACCGGCCCCGCCGGTATCATCGCCAAGCGTATCCCCAAGCATTTCATTGAGCAGGTGTACGGTGTAAAGCTCAGAATGCGTCCTATTGAAGAGGGCGGCACTGGCGTCCCCACTGCCAGCGAGATCCTGCGTGCCTATGCTCGCGCCCGTGGTTTCTCTACTCAGGGTATTGGTCAGCCCGACGAGTCCCGCGCTGCACGATATGTTCTAAAGGACTATGTCAACGGCAAACTTCTCTGGGTCAATCCTCCCCCAACTGCCGAGGATGAAGCTCCAATCGACACCGTTGAGTTCAACAGCGACTTATACGACCTCGCTCATCTTCCCGAAAGACGCCGAGCTCAGCTCACACAGGCCAAGATTGGGAAGCATAGCGCAGTAGCAGAGGGCACTGCAGACTCCGCCGATATCGACCCGGAGAACCCTTCTGATCCAATCAAGATTTCCGTCGAGCCGGAGCTCGGTCGCACCTCCCGCAACCTTGACACAGGCTTCTTCGGCTCAGAAACCGGTCCCTCTGCCGGCCGTCTGACGCTCCCCTTCCAGGCCCGGTACACCCAACAGGGCCAGGAAATGCGCAAGGCACCCACAGGCCGCAAGGAGCGTATGATGGTTGCTCTTGAGCGTGGCGTGGATGTCTCCGAAGTGAAAGGCGGCAACTCTAAGAAGCACTTCAAGGCCAACAAGCGTCAGGCCAAGGCCAAGCGCAACAACCCTGAGGATGACGACTACTAAAAAGTGATTTTCTTTCTATTTCCTTTGTTGCATTGTTTGCTTGCGCTCGCAGGCGAGTCGAGGGAGAGAATCCTACCGCTCCCTTCTACTCTACGGAGGTATCATTCTTGGGCTCATGATGAATGAATTGATAAATGATCCTATATATGGGATTTGCATGTCATGTCGGGATTGAAGGTTTATGTCCATGTCCATGTTCATGTTTGTTGAGGAATCATCTCTTTGGCGTTCGGTTTTTACGAGTTGAATAACGATTTATACCAGTCATTCATTCACTTGATTTTATCATTTTCTTCCCACCGTAAGACCATCAATTCAAGCATAGACATGATAAAGGGAAGTAAAAACAGAGGAATGTTCGTGCATTCTTTTTCAACCGAAACTAAGCAGACTATGCATATCGCTAGGTATATCTATCCATAATCTCAAAGATGGCTCTTAGGCTTGAACCCAGAAGCAGAAAGCAAACGCTCAGACTCCTCACGCTGCCAATTCAACTTGGCAATAATCGCATCCTTACGAGACTTATTCTCCCGCTTACCCATCTGCTGCAAATGAACCTCATCAGGACCATCCGCAATCCGCAGAGTCCGAATCCCAGCCCACAAGTACGCAAGCGGAGTATCCTGACAAACACCGGCCGCACCATAAGCCTGCACAGCGCGATCAATAATAGTAAGCGCAGTCTGAGGAACCAAAACCTTAGCCTGAGCGATCTCCTTCAGCGCGCCCTTCGCATCACCCTGATCAATCTTGATAGCAGCATTCAAAACAATAAGACGGGCAGCATCAACCTCGATCCGCGACTTGGCAATCCACTCGAGAATCACACCGTGCGCAACTAAAGGCTTGCCGAAAGTCTGCTTGCGCTCGTCGTTGACTCGGGCAATCAGCCACTCGAGCGCGCGCTCGGCGGCGCCAATCGCACGCATGGCGTGGTGGATACGGCCGGGTCCGAGACGACCCTGGATAATCTCGAAGCCGCGGCCTTCGCCAAGGACCATGTTTGAGGCGGGGACGCGGACGTTCTTGAATGTGATGTGGGCGTGGCCGTGGGGCGCGTCGTCGTAGCCGTATACTGTCAACATGCGGTGCACTGTGATGCCTGGGAGTCCGGCTGGGACGAGGATGACGGATTGTTGCTTGTAGCTGTCTGGGTTGGAGGCGTCGGTCTTGCCCATTACCAGGTAGACTGCGCAGCGGGGATCGCCGGCGCCGGAGGACCACCATTTCTGTAGTTGGGTTGTTAGACGTTGGGAAGTGGTTCATTGGAGTGGTGGAGGTACGTACCGAGCCGTTCAGGACGTATTCATTGCCGTCCCGGCGGATGTCAAGCTCAATATTTGTGGCATCGCTAGACGCGACGTCGGGCTCGGTCATTAGGAATGCAGAGCGGATCTTGCCCTCTAGTAGGGGTGCGAGCCACTGCTTTTTTTGGGCGTCATTGCCGTACTTGGCGAACACTTCCATGTTGCCGGTATCTGGGGCAGAATTGTTGGTAGCCTGGTGATAAAGAGCGATTAGCGATCACAGCCTTTTGCAAGACCTCCCAGGGAGGAAAGTAATGCGCCAGACAGAGAACAACATAACCCACCTCCGATGCAATCTTGCTCTTGCCGAGTAACTCGGCCATCAATCCATATTCCAAATTTGAGAATCCAGCACCCTGGGAGAAGTGGTTCTTAGGCAGGAACATATTCCATAGACCGAGCTTCTTGGCCTTCTCCTTCAGGTTCTCCAAGACGACGGGGGTGGTGGTCCATCGCTGCTCGCCTTCACCGAGCTCGGCGGAGAAGACAGCGTCGGCGGGGATGCAGTCTTTTTCAACGAATTCTTCAACCTAAAGTTGTGTTAGCTTGGATATCAACGGCTAAGGAAGGTCTTGGTTGCTATAGTGGGTAGGGTATTGGGGGATGTATTACCAGGTCCAGGGTCCGCTTGGCCTGTTCGCTGACGAACGGCAGGGCAATGGGGGGAATACAAGATGAGGCAGACATTTTGAATAGATTGAAGATATCAACAGAGAATCTCTGGAGAATCAGAGAATATAAAGGAGAAGAAGTCAGCCCATCCAAATTGCGGAGAAGGTGGAGAAGCCGACGGATTTTGTTCAGCCTCGGCTTGGGCTACCCGGCCGCTTAGACGCAGTCGATGTCAGCTTCTATATATTCGGCTAGATCTCCGATTTTGATATACACATGTTTCGGATATGTGTAGTCGATCATCCCACACTTGCAGAAGGTCTAAAACATATGATCTCAGGATCACTCAGGGTGAAGATAGGCAATGGATTGCAAGGCAGTCCTCACATGCCTTGACAGCTTATGTCGTATGGTGTGTTTGGTGAGACTGCTGCTAGAGGAATAGCTATAGATGAAGAGCGAGACCAGAAGCCCCGGTCCTCAATAGTCTAGAGGCACATACTACACCAACCCAGAACAAGAACAAAAAGTCATTGCATTGCATTCCAATGTGCTCCATAAGATATCCCAATTACAATTCCATCCAACCCATACCCCGTACACAAAACAAAAAAAAGGCATTGCAGGTCATCATAAAAAAAAAATAGAAATCCAACTCCAGACCCGATATCCAAGATCTCAAATCTGCCTCTCCTCAATGCATCCGACCCAGCGACCGGCGCCGAGTAAAAGAGATTGAAGGAAAGACCATAGAATCAAAGCCCGAGTGTGAAAAAGGAAAGAAAAGAAGAAAACATCTCAGACCTCGGTCCGTTTAGTTTTCAGTTCGGCCTTCGGCTGTGGATTGCTCGTAGCTCTTCTTGCCGAGCTTAGCGAACAGCGACTGGGGCTTGCCGGCACTGTAAAATGTTAGTTGGAGTCTATAAAGTATACAAGAAAGTGAAGGAAGTACATACTTCTTAAACCGCTTGCCCTTGATATCGCTCAATTTCTTTGTGCAGGGACTCATGATATCGTCTGAGGGTGAGACGTAGGAGGTTGGTTGTCTATGATGATGAGTTTCTTGTTCAAGGATATGCAAAGATAAAGACAAAACACTCACTCCTCGCTGCCAACTTTGCCCTGCAACACCTGGCGGTGGTACTCCATCGATGAGATGTCGGAACCCTTCAGGTCGGTCTTGTCACTGGCGTTCAGGTGGGTGTTGGTGGAGCGGTCGGCCAGAGGCTGAGCTTGTGTGGTTGCGTCCATTTTGATATGTAGAGATTTGGATGTGGAGAGATGTATAGTGCGTATGTGGTAAAGGATTGAAAGAGAAGGTGAACAAGTCGGATAAGATGGAAAAGGTCGTGTGTTGGAGAAAAATGGGAGATTGTTGGCTGGGCAACCAAATATGACGCCACATAATCCCTTAAGGGCCTTGGGATATTGTTAGACGATGTACGGAGCATATGGGGAATTACAGGTTTTTTTTTACATTGATCGTCAGTTGATTTCAAGGAATGCAACCCTAATCATAGCCATAAACAATATAGTAATCATAACCAGTGGGAATCATATCATCTAAACATTGATGGTACACGCAACAGGGTACAGTGTACAGTAAAATGCAAAGCGCCAATAAACATCAGTGTGCAAGGTCATAAAAATACGGCTAAAAGCCATTAAGGCCAACATAGCCATTAATCACAGCTCAGGCGACCGTGCATTATCGGTAACCAGATCAACATCAGCCGATGTATCCATATCCAGATCAACAGGTCGCCCATTTAATACAGGTGGCGTACTATGAGAACGGGGCTGTGGTGTCGCCAGAGTAGGCAAAGACAGAGACTCGGGAGAGGCAGGTTCTTCCGCCTTCTCTGTCTCCTCCGCGTCTCTTTCTGTTGGAGAAGAAGACGTGGGAGTCGGTGGGGAATAGGCCCCGGTTGGACTACCGGGGCTATCTTGGTCGGACGAGTCAGACAGGTTTCGGCGATGGCCTTTGTTCTCACGGTATGAAGACGAAGTTGGACGTGTCGACCCCGGACTAGGTGATGGAGAGGCAAAAGGTGGAGATGAAGACCGTAGACTGTAGGATCGAGTGACCATTCTTTGAACGGCAGGGAATTCCATATAGTTGCTTCCCGAGCCTCGGGAGAATAGGGCGAGGGCAAAGCAGCAGAGGACCATGATGCTCTGAATCACGGTGACTCTCTTTTGGAAAACCAATTCGTCGGCAAGGACACCGAGCTGCCTGCTGAGAGAGTGTACTTCTTGGTGGTACTGCATGCGCTGGTGCTCAAATTCCAGAGCAACAGACTTCCAGACGTGGTCGTACTGCTCGCGGAACTCTTTCAATTCGTTGAGAACAGTTACGTTTAGGTTTTCGAGGAAGGTCGATGTCTTCGCTAGCTGCCGCTTCTCAACTTTGTTGAAGGCATCACGCAAGATGCGAGATTGCTCCTCAATATAAAGAAGAGACAAGGTGGAGTTCGACTCAAGCATCTGGAGCCGCTTGTGGACAGATTTGAAGAAGGATTCTTGGGTCGTGGGGTTTGCCGATGGCGGTTGAGTGTTTGTAGGTCTCATCGACTCTGGGGGAGGAACGTTCTGCTCCTCTTTGGGGTTGGCTGTGGCTTTCCCTAAGGTCTCGGATGTGGTGTTCTGCTGAGCAGGCTCCGAGGATATGGTTGAGGCATCTGGAGGAGTCACGCTATGTTTGGCAGGTTCACCCTGCTTTCGAGTATCCTCGGCTTTTGGCGGAGCAGATGGTCCGACATTGATCTCGGAGGAACTGCCTCCAGCCGCAACAGTAGAGTTCTGTTTCGGCGGCAGATTGGTCTGAGCCGTTGTGCCGGACGGCGATGGAGTTGTGACAGGCAGCCCATCATTAATACCACATACATCATTGAGCTTCACAAAGGGCGACACAGCCTCTGATAGAGGGTTCGGACAAACTTCATCCACTGCAAGGCTAGGTTCTACCGCAGGAACAACTTCCTCGACCGGCACCTTGACGGGCTTGGTTTCCAAATCTTCGGGAAGCTGATTAGCTTCACTGGCCTCCAACTCCTCAACCTCGGCGCGTTCAGAGTTTTCTCCATGCTTGTACTCTTCCATCATGGTGGTACCATGCACTCGAATTAAGCTGACAGGGCAGAAAAACTCATGTCCATAGTGCGTGAGGAACTCAATTCGAAGGTATCGAGCCCAGATAAGCGAGTTCTCTACTGCGAAAGCTTGCACCTCACGAGTGTTGCGTGCCTCATAAACCCCAAGTTCTTTCCACTGGTCCGGCTTTGCGGGATACCGATCCGAAACACTCACGCGGAACGTGTGGAAGATAGAGCTGAAAAACTCATAGTTTGCAAGAACAATTGTATCAACCAGGATATCATCGCACAGTTCTAGGATAAGAAATTTGTTCTTGGCGCGACACTCATTGAGCATATAGCTGTCCTTATTCTCAATGAGCACAGAAGACGAACCCTTGCACTCGGGATTTGTTTTCAGCACTGTAGCCGCGCAGTCAAAGGAAGCATAGTTGAATCGCTCCTTGCAAGTAGTGCCAGCATCCTTACGGCGCGACGCATCTCTCTGAAGCGCACCCTGCCCGTGTGAGTCCCCCTCGCCTTTTCGATCCGCATTTCCCGCCTGCCCGGCGTCGCGCGACGGAATATGCGAGTCCCAAGCGGTAGGACTAGCCTCGGGCGTCTCAGCGCCGAACCCACTAAAGTCCAACTCGATCTCGGAATCGTCGCCCAGCGAATCTAAAGCATTATGGATTCCTGCCGGCTGCCGACGGTCTTCCTTTCCAGCGGCAGCGGCACGTCTGCTCCCTCCAACATTCTCCGCTGATTGTCCAACCTTCGCTAGGTTCTGTTTCTTCCAGTCCTCAAATGAGAGGAAACTAGCGCTGTCCAATAGCGAGTCTGTGTCTTGGTCTTGTTCTGCGATCTGGTCTGAGGTCGTTTTCGCTGTCTCTTCAGATGCCCCGCTCGAGACTGCAGTTGAATTAACGACCGGATCGTTGGCTGTCGCATTTGGATCGGGTATTGTTGAAGCAAGATACATATCGCGACCTGGCCCCCAGCGCGTCTCTAGGCACGGCGGTAGGTTGAAGAGCTCCGCCTCCGTCTGCCAAGTACTCCTCGTCGGACATGTTGTCACCGGTGTCGTGGGAGGAGCAGCCTGCGCGCCGTTCGAGGGCGGCTGTGCGGTCGCGTTGGAGAGCGCATTTTGGCCGAGAGCCAAAAAGACAGAGGCTCGGTATATCCAGAAAGTCAATGACCGGCCTGCGGTCAGCATGCTGTCGGTTTGATGATTAGACACTTGTATAGCTCCCTGTATCCAAGCTATGAATTCGACGCTATGCACATTGTGGCTAGGAGTGAGAGTAGTCGACTCGAGGATTTTTAATTACTTCAGATATTGTGATCCAGCTTAGCGACAAATAGCGGTCTCCAAAAAGGAATGGGAATGGACAAGAGGTGGCCGGTGGCATCATCAGGATCTGACCGCCTTTCAGAGAGCTCTGTGCTCTATTACGATAGTATGCGGAGTACAGCCTTGGAACTACATGACTACATGTGTTATATTTATTGAGCTACAGAGAACCCAATTCTTCGCGGATGGTAGTCAATTTCACCTTTGGTGCTATATAACTAGTTACAGTACAACACGAGGAGAAAACGGCCGCGTTTCATCAAGTCATCCTGCCAGACCAGATCGACTTCACCGCAACTCATTCCACCTTTTTCCGGGAAGAATCCAGGCAAATCATGTGGTTCGTATGAAAAGTCTCCCGCCAGAATCAAATATCCACCAGCGCGCTCCGAGCCAGCCTTCTAACCTTTTTGTGGTTTTTCGTGTTCGCCGTCTCCGTCATTGTCCGTGACCCTCGGTCTGATATTGTACAGGTAGAAAGAATAAAAAAGAAACAGTTTGGACGAAGGAGGGTGATCCAATGCACGTGGCAATGCATCGTTGAGGATGGACGGAGACAAAACGAAACACTCATTCCGAGAACAAAGAGACATAAGACAAGAAAGCGGAACATTAATTTATCTTGGGTAATTTTGAACTTTTTTTCCCAACTGAATCGAAACATGCAAGCAGACATCAACATTGAGGGGGAGTATAGGGTAAAAGTAGAGTGAATTGCGAGCGAATGCCGAGAACCCTAGAAGTGAGTCTCATGCCACCCGCCGACAAGATCAAGGTCGTCATCGACGCTTCCATCGTCATGAGGTAGGAAACTTTGAGAGACATGGCTGCGCCAATCCTGCCGTTCGATCAAATGTCGCCGGCGATTGTCCACAGGTGATGCGGGCTTGGTTTTGTTCTGATGGTATCCGGAAGTGCCTCGGCCCCAATCGTGTCGCCGACTGTTCGCAGCTATGCTCTTGGGACCAAACACTTCACGGGACTTGCGAGGCTTGGGCTTGCGCGATTCGTCTTCGGGTTTGTACTTGCGTCGCACCTCACCAAGCATCGACCACTTATCAGCACCAGACGGCCCTGGTGGAGAATTTCGTAAAGGGCGGGGCGTGCTGCTCGATGCACTGGAGTCGCTGTCTTCGTCCAGGGAAAGATCCCCTAGCACATGAGGCTCCATCTTCAGATCTTCCTCTGAACCTTGAGAGCGCTGGTTGAGGGAAGCGGAGGCCGGCTCGCGCAACCTTGGGAGGGCAGCTCCCTGACTCTCTTGGCTCCAGCTACGCGAGTTCTGCTCCCGGCGTTGCATCATGGCAAGGTCTTCATTCTCAGACTCCTCTTCATCCCACATGTCACACCAGCTCTTTGAGATCTTGTCGGCACCTTTGTTGTTGCCAAAGACCATCGACAAAGAAGGCAAGGGCTTTGTTGCATGAGACGGCAATGATCCTGTGATGGACACCGGGTCCGAGCGAGGGAGACGTGGCACCTCACGCTTGCGAAGGTTGAGCAAGACGAAAGATTCACTGAGCTGGGAGTCCAAAACAGAAGCTACTGATGGAGTTTCCATACGAGACGAGAACCACGAGGTTCCCGCAGCTTCGGAAGGCGGGAACAGATCCTCGGTGTAGCTCTCGTTGTCCGGAATGGCAGATAGCTGTCGGATAGCCTGGGGAGGACTCGACTGGAGCGCCTTTGCCCAAGGGAAAGAATCTCCTTGGTTGACATGGGGACTCTGGAGCGAGGGCGTGCGAAGGGGTTCGCGGTTGGCGCTGGCAGCAACCACCTCGCGATCTTCGGTGCAAAACTCATCGAGAGATTCGTCGTCGGTGGTGAAAGAGACGGCGCGAAGTATGCAATCACGCACCTCAATCAAGGATCTCTTGGAAGGATCAATTGTCAGGGCATGCGTCAGAATCTCGTACGTGTCCTGGGACATGTTGGGGAAGATGTCGAACAGTGACTGGCGATCGCGCACGTAGTCAGCAAAGAGAACATCGGACTCCGTGGGAGTGACGAAAGGATTCCGAGCAAACAGAATGTTCAGCAAACAGATCCCCACAGACCAGATGTCGGCCTTGGCGGGGGAATATCCTGTCATGCCCGGATCATATTGCTCGGGGGCCATGTAGCGATCGCTACCAACACACGCCTCGTGACACCACGAGTCTTGCGTAGCGAGACCAAAGTCGCCAAGCTTCATGGAGCCATCCTGGGTCAGGAAGATATTCTCCGGCTTGATGTCACGGTGATACAAGCCATTGGCATGCATGAAGTCGACGGCACTGATCAGCTGCAGCATGAAATCTCGAACGTGTTCAGTCTCCAGTGGACCACGATTGAGGCGGATGGCCTCGTATAGATCTCCATTGGCACAATACTCCAAAACAAGATATTTGTGAGTCTCGGTGTCGAAAGTATGAATCAAGTTAACCAAGTTTGAGTGGAAGCCAAAGCGTCGATGACACTCGAGTTCTTCAAAACGATCGTCATCGGAGCCCGTTGAGGGGCCCTTGAGTAGACGTTTGATAGCAACGTCTTGGCCTGTCTGGGTATCTGTGGCAAGGAATACCATTCCAAAAGACCCATGATTGAGGGGGGCCACAGTTCGAAAACGACCATCCAGAAGTTGGCCCTCAACGAATTCTTCTTTCGAGCATTCCATGGTCGACATGTTGGTCTGATGATCCCGAGAAGAACGGATCGGAGATGAGATGGAAATGGGAGAGCGGAATGATGTAATGTTCCAACAAAGAGATCAAGTGAAAACAAATCTATGAGCCGCTCAAAAAGAACACTTACGCGTGTTCAAAATGCGTCGAAGTGTGATAAACAAAAAGCAACCAGGCTAATGAAGATTAAGGACAACGAAGAGAAGTATCAGGCGCGGGATCCAAGGTGAAGAGAGATAGGCGAAAAGAAGAGCCGGGTTTGTTCAGGAGGTTGAGATGAAAGGGATCCTGACTGGCTCGAAATGTCATATAAAAAATGTACTGGTGAAAGTTGATAGACAGATGAAAAGAGGAGAGAATGATGGCGCAGAGGCGCAGTTGAGTGAACCCGGACGGGATTGTTGACGCTAAGGAAATGGGTAAAGACCGTTATGTGCTCATTTGTATTTCGTTTTTCGTTGGTTAACGGGAAAGGGTCCCAGGTGGACGACACGAATGTGTCAGAAAGAGATGAACAAGTGTTGGAAGGTCGGCCTGATACCGGATGAATTGAAGAGAGTTGAGGTGAAAGCGCTGCGTGATATCGTAATGGAAAAGATCAAAAATGTATAGGAGTAAAAGAAAAGAACAGGAAAGAATCCTATGAACACCGGGTTCAAGGTCGAAGGCTGTGACTCAAATTGAAGATAATTGAGATTAGTGAGTCATGAAAGGCCAGCTGGAATTGGTGGAGCAAGTTGGTTGGGCGAAAGAGGGATCCGGTAGAGCACCCTTCTAATCCAGGCAGGAAAAAAAGAGATACTCGATGCCAGGTTGCCCCTGAGGTATGAAACTCCTGAGATGCTCTCACGACAAGGTTCGACCGAGGAAACGTATTGTTACCCGCAACGCAGGCAACACCTTTGTGTAGATTGAGGTGACAAAGGCTGAAGGTATTGATAGCGCAATGACAATCCGACAGACCGAGAGTTGGATCCTTTTATCACGTTGATGGAAGTGAGTCACCCGAGCTCAGGGTGGACCCGGAAGACCGAAAAAGGGGTTTAGGACGGAAAGGCGAGAGAAATACTCTTCTGCTCAAAGGAAATCAGGAGTAGACCTTAAAGCTTGGAAGTTGTCGAAGGAAGAGTATAGGCCGTCCAGAGTTGGTAGTGTCTTGAGATGATGGCAAGCAGACACGGCGATCTTGGCAACCTTGGAAGCGTTGAAAGTGATAGAAAGGTGACGGATAAGTGATGATCGGAGAGAGGATAGAAGGTATAAAGGCGGGACGAAGAGATGGGAATATAGGAGAGCGAGAAGAGAGATGATAGGAGATGAGGAAGATGATGGTATAAGGGGAGGGAGATAGAAGGAGCCAGGGAGACAGAGAGAGAGGTGTTGTAAAGCCGTGAGGGGAATTGGAGAGGCAAACTGATTGGCCGTACCGTCTGATACCGTCACATACCGGTCTTCCCTCGTGAGCTGTTCATCCGTGTGATCTGCGTTGGCCAGCCATTTGACTGACATCCGAGGTCTTTGGACCCGTTTCCGTCTCCCGGGGAAACTGGTAACGTACGGAATGAATACCGGTATTGTAACGCTCCAATCCAGCAGGCTCCCCAAGTTTCATGAACCTTCCAGGCATTCCTTATCCTTGGTAAAGGCGTCAACCGTCTACGTGATCTCTCCAAGCTTGTCAATTTCCCACGTTGGTACGATAACGCGATAACGTTGAATCCCATTGTTGGTTGCCGTTTTAACCCGAAGTTTGGACCATCACATCATCCACTTTATCTATTCTACTTTTTTTTTTTATAGAGATTGTCCGACTTCCCGACTTCCCGACTTCCCAAACTTTCCAACCTTTTAGGAAATTTTGATTCAGCAGGCCAGTCACAATGACGGTTGACATCAGCAGGGTCCTTTGGGAGTTTCATCGGCCGAGGGCGGATCAAGGTGGCGCACTATTCTCAAAGCGGATAATTGCGCAGTCAATTCTGGGGAGATCAACCAATCAGAATAGATTATCTGGCCACTATTTACAGGCTGCATGACGCGATAAAGTGGGATGGCGTGATCTTTTCTGATTGGTTCACCCCGGATACCGACTGCAGCCCGGCTTAATTATGCTGTCCAAGATTATGCGTATTATGCGCTGTGCCTATGGGAATGTACCCTTCCGCAGGTACTGCACTTGAGATGGTGTGGACCATCTTG